GAAGCATGCAGCCGTCAACCAAGCAGCTCAACTTGCGTTCAATAAGGCGCAGCACTCGCTCTTTGGGCTCCCCTTTTGTCGATTCTGCAGGCAACGGATGCACGACTGGAACTCTTTGGCCAAGCATGTGTCCATGGGTATGTGTTTGCGTGTCAAGTCCATGATCGCGGAGGGCATGCAGGAGCACGACATGCTGCAGATGATTGCTGAGGAAGAGCGGCTCAATCCCCCAGTGCCACCGCTTGGCGCAGACTCTCAATCTGCCATACAGGTCGCTGTCGAGAAGGCGTTGACGGTTTTGCCTAGTGAGCTTGGCGCTCGGGGTGCCGACTTGCGCATACTCTCGAAGCATTGTGCCTTGTGTCATCAGCTTGTTAAGGATCCTTCCAAAATCAAGACACACTGGCAGGCCTCGCACGCGGATGAGTGGGGTTTAGCGGCCCAATCTGCTCTCGCTGAAGCCAGGAGTCTCTCGGCCACTTTTACCTCGCCGTGCTCTTTCTGTGGAAGCGCAGCAAAGAAGGCCTCCGACCATTGTGTCAAGTGTGCTGCGCTCTTTCAGCTGCTGGCGCATGGGTGTCTCGTGCGTGGTGGATGGCGTGGACCGGGTGCTCAGCGGAGCCCCTCTCTCAAACAGTGGCAGGTTCCTGCGCAGTACAAACAGTTTCGGCCTGAGAATACCGCGATTGGGCGCTTCTTGAACTTTGGCCGGGATGATGGGCAACAGGCTGGCAACGAGAGTTCCGCTTCGAGCCGGAGGCCGACGTCGTCCTCACCTCGAGCGCCTGACTCTTACACCCTCCTTGCTCAAATCGGGGGCTCTGGTGTTCCAGGCGGTATGGTGGCATCCTCATCCGACCTCGAGGTCGATTGGGTGGGGCGTCTCGTGCTGGTGAACAATCACAACCTGTGCTATCTGAATGCAGTCTTTCTGGCACTAGTGCATTGTTCCAATTTTTCACTGGGGGCACATCGTGGTCTTCAGGCGATGCGTCGGCTTGGCGCTCAAGCGGTGTCCTCTCCTCGGGGTATGCTGCTCACCTCACAGCTGCAGATTCGGTCTACTCTCAGGTCGTGGTCTTTTGATGGTCGGCAACATGATGCTGCGGAGCTAGCAGCAGTTCTCCTTCAAGGTCTGGGTTTGGGCCAGATGGTTTGGGAGGCTCGTCGTGTCGAGGATGGTGGAGTATGTACCATGCATTCAGGTCCTCTTCCCCTGCTTCTACCTCCGCCGGCTCGTGGATGTATGCTTCAGGACTGTGTTCAAGCGTGGCATGATCAGGATTGCGTCCATGGAGTTGTGGCTCGACCTGAGCCCGAGCTTGTGCTGCTGCAGGTTGAACGTCAGCGGGATGGCCGGAAGAGCTTCGTTCCGGTTTGGCCGGATGATGAGGTGAGGATTCCCTTCCTCGCTAATGGACTTTGCGTTTCATGGGTTGTCTACAAGGTGATGGCCGTCGTGGAACATCACGGCGCACTGGTGAGCTCTGGACACTATCGTGCTGTCCTCAGAGGAGCTTCGGATTGGTTGCACACTGATGATGGCGTCACAGCTTCTGTGACAACATGGGATCGCGGCCGCGCTGAGCTGTCCTACTTGTTCTGGGCAGTGCGGGCTCAAAGAAGGGAAGAGGTTGCTGTGGACGCACCGCTGGCTCCAGCGGCGATTAGCCTTTGACTCAGTCATGTCGGCGGAGGAGGTACCGGATGCGACGATGCTTGACGGTGAGCAGGAATGGGATTTTTACAAGAAGTACTGGCCTAGCGGGCCGGGCATGCCGGTACCTCCGTCTTCCGAGGGCTCCACCTTGGATCCATCAACAGCCGCTGAAGAGCGCGAGGCGAAGACCGCCAGGCTGACAGACTCCAAAGGCAGCCAAGGACGTGGGGGAGGTGATGGGAAAGGTACCTCGAATCCCAAGAGTCCTCCGGGCGCGAATAAGCGCCAGCAGCGTGAGCAGTCTGGGCAGTGGCGTAGTGGGGGCCCTTCGGGATGGCGCGACAGTCGAGCTGGGAGATCAAGCTGGCCCTCGAATGGTCAAGGTCAGGATCACCGGGATGATGGTGGAGACTGGTCTGTTCGTAAGGAGCTCCGGGACTTAAAGTACGCTGTCTCCTTGATGCAGCGGCTGATCCTTCGCCACGAGGATGCGTCCATTTTGGCCCGCATCGAAAGCAGCTTTGTCATCCACTTTAAGCTGAACGTGCCTGCCTCTGTCGTGCCGATGCTCTTTACTTCAGCTGGAGCTTGGAGGCGCGTCAAAGCGGAGGAGCCCGATAAGCTGGACCGTCCTATGCGTTGTGCCCTCCTGGTCTGCCTGTTCGCTGAGCTGAAGGAGCGCATGGAGAAGGTTGTCCTTGATGAAGCGCGCATGGGCGAGATGGAGAAAATGGGATGGCTGACGATTGGGCCGCCGGTTGTATGGAAGTTCATGCGCTGGGATGTTTCGAAGCAGCAGCAAGTCGTGGATGACTCACGTCCCCCGCTCAGCCAGGCTGAGGTGTTGGAGCTTGTGGGCAGCATCCTTCCATTGATTCCGCGGAAGTTCGCTACGGCTCGCTTCCACCCCACGCGGCCGATGGCGCAGGAGATGCAGGGTCAAAACTTGGTCTTTCTGTTGCAGACGGGCCAACATGGTGTTTGGTCTGATGAGCTTCGTGATGGTCTGAGGCGTTTGTGCCATTGCTCTGTCATGCATCTTTTGGCGGCGCAGCTCAAGGAGGACAAGCATGCCCGCTCTGCTCTCGCCAATGCCATTGCGGATTACCTGACTCGTCACTCTGCCTTCTAGGTTTTTCAGGGTGCGCTATGGTGCTCTCATATCCATGTGGCTAAGGGGCCACGCGGAGTGCCGCATCATTTTGAAGGATGATCTGCTGGGCAGCTCGCTGCGAGATCTTTCTTGATTGCCTTAGGGCTTGGGCAGGGCTCTTCACTTGGCCTTGGGAGCAGTGCAAAAGCCGTGAGCTCCTTTCATGTGCCTTGTGCCCTGTATCCTCGTGTCGTCTTGCTTTCAAGCTTCTGAAGACGAGCAGATGGGCATTGATGACAAAGGAGCGGCGTGCACCACGCGCGACCCGCTTCAGGATGCACTCATGCTTGATGCCTACTCTTGGTTGCTGAGGCTATGTCCTGGCGTGGCACCGCGTGGTCGCCCTGGTTATCCAGATGCTGGTCATGCTTTTCTGATGCTGCGCCAGGCTATGTGATCGCGAGCTGTTCCGACTGCTTCTGATCGGAGTGCTGTGAGTGTGAGTCTGCGGTGAGAGCATGGGCTGCTCTAGGCGGCACTGTTACATAGCTTCCTCTTTTTCCCTTCCCCCTAGTTGTATAGGCTTCCACAGTCGTTTTGTTAATACCGTAGTGCTGCATTGCTGCTGGGCTTAGGCTCGGGCGTACTGCGTGCTTGGCCCCTCGGGGCGGCGTGGGATGCAGCTTTTGTTCAGGTTACTCGTTTCGAGGTTATCAAAGATAACGCTGCGATGCAGCCGGGCTTTCGAGCTTGCTCGCTAGCACGCGAGGCGGACCCCTGGACGTTCGTCGCGAATGGAAGGAAGGAAGTGGTAGTAGTAGTAGTATAGTAGTAGTAATGATAATGATGATAACAAAAAAGCGCCCGGGGAGCGCAACGACAGCGAAAAAAACCGCGCCCCGCAGGCACGACAGCCAAAAAAAGACGCGCCCCGCAGGGACAGGGTAAGAGTGTTTTGTTTTTCGGTCCTTTTTTGTTACTTTTGGTTCTTTTTTTCTTATTTGGGCCCCCACGTGCTATTATTTACACACGATGCCGGCTGAATGTGTCGCCCCATGTGGTGCCGTGCGAAATTTTGGCTGATTTGATTTCGATGTCTGAATGGTGTTTTGTTCCTAAAAGACCCATCTCAGGCATCGCGGGTTTCAAGAACGACTCCTATAGGCTGTCATGCAACCTTGCGCGCGGCTTAAAACAGCGGGCCCCATTCGCAATCACGATGCTCGCATGGCTGGTTTACAACAAAATCATATGGGCGGCCGGGGGGGGGGCGGGGTACAAAAACGCGCCCCGCAGGGACGACAGCAAAACAAAAAACGCGCCCCGCAGGGACGACAGCAAAACAAAAAACGCGCCCGCAGGGACCACACCAAAAAAAAAACGCGCCCCGCAGGGACGACAGCAAAAAAAAAACGGCCGGCAGGGACGACAGCAAAGAAAAAATGCGCCCTTGCCACGACAGCAAAAAAGAAAACGCGCCCCCGCCACGACAGCAAAAAAAAAACGCGCCCCGCCGACAGCAAAAAAAAAAACGCGCCCGCCACGACAGCAAAAAAAAAACGCGCCCCCGCACGACAGCAAAAAAAAAAGACGCGCCCCGCCACGACAGCAAAAAAAAACGCGCCCCCGCCACGACAGCAAAACAAAAAACGCGCCCCCGCACCGACAGCAAAAAAAAAACGCGCCCCGCCACGACAGCAAAAAAAGAAAACGCGCCCCCGCAACGACAGCAAATAAAAAAACGCGCCCCGCCACGACAGCAAAAAGAAAAACGCGCCCCGCCACGACAGCAAAAAAGCAACGACAGCAAAAAAAAAACACTCTTACCCTCTCTGTCTATCTACCTACCTGCCTGCCTGTCTGTCTGTCTGCCAGCCTGCCTGTCTGTCTGTCTTTTTTGGTCTGTCTGCCTGCCTGCATATATATATATATACATATATGCATGTTTTTACTTATTGAGACGGTTCATTAACAAGACAAGCATACTTGCGGTTGGTTATGCGTGGGTACCGTTCCGGCATCTAGGTAAGGAAGGCGCAGAAGAAGGATGCCGAGCGAGAAAGCAGCATGGTAGAGCTGGCACTCCTTTGTGACAGCATGGACTATGACGGATGCCTGCCTTCACCATTATATTTTTGAATTTTTTGAGCCCACCGAAGCTAGCCAAAGCGACTTTTCTCTTCTTGTTCTTTTGGATGTCCGGCTTGACCTTTCAGCTGAGGAAGCGGTACCTTGTCCTTGGAAGAGATGTTGAATGGCTTCGACAGCAATGCGCACTTCAAGGGTCTCATGGAGCAAATGGACATCATGCGGGAAGACATGGCGACTCGGAAATATTATGAGCCTCCTAGAGGATGTCTCAATTTGTCGTATTGGGTTGTTGTTGGAAGGCCGACTTAAGCCTTTGCGAGAATTGTTGTGGTACTCCACTATGGTTGAGTGTGTTCACCTGATACGGAAAATCCGCCGCCTAATCCTACGAAGGACACAGCTTCTCCGAAAATCTAGATTCTTCTTGCTCTGTAAAGACCTCATTTCGGCTTTGCCCCGAAAGCAAAGAGCCCTGGCATGCCCACATGCACGAGGAGACGATCTTCAACGTGCTGGACTCGAACAGATCTGGTGAAGTTGACTATGTAGAGTTCTGCCAGCACTTGGGCAACTTCCGCAAGCCCCCTTGTCTGAATCTATCTGCAAACACGCTGCACCCGTCTAGGATCATATGTCGATGGACTTGTGATGACATCCGTGAGGCGGGACCTCCACATGATGCCCTCGCTCATCAAGTACTCGATCATGGAAATACGGCAGGTGATAAAGCGCGACATCGTGCAGATGCTGGAAGAGCACACCGAGATGCTTTTTGACAACCTAGAGGTCCTTTCTTCCGTGCCTGCCTGTGGTGAGAAGGCTCAGCCGATTGTCATTGTCTTGCCTCCAGAGGTCCACAGGTGCAGTCATGTATTGGGACATTCTAGGCTTGCTTGCCTTTGGAGTTTGAAGCCTTGCGGACGGCCTGAAGGATGATCTGTCGACCGTCGCAAAACCAGTGATGCGAACATTGTTACACATCTAGCAGCAGCAACGCCACGGCACAGTATGTTGAGCGAGCTTTAAGCATCCTCAGTTTGCACGTCAAGTTTTTGTGGACAGACAAGTTCAAGTTCACAGCACGCCGGCTTCACACCCCTGCACCATCATGTCAAGCTGGTAGAGATGGGAGATGGGCTCCCTGTAAGTTGACAGCGACTGGAAACTCGCTTGCAGATACCCCGTTCCATACTCTGGGCAGTGCTTTGTTTTGTTGTGAGAGTGTCTGACAGAGCCTCCTCCTCTTGAGCAAGAGCTGCCAGAGGCCGAAGAGATGCGAATGCGGCGCCGTGGGGCGCCCTCGCTTCGAAGACAGGGTGTCTGGGACGACGATCCAGCTAGCAGAAATGACAGGATGGTGATTATGCGCATGTCGGTCTAAGCCATGGAAACCTCCAAGGATGAAACACCTGCAATCTACGTAGCCAGTGGGGAACTTTGAAGCTCCAAGCTGCCGAGCCCAGGCAAGTCTCAGGGCAAACCTCAGTTCTTCGGCGACCAGTCCGGTGCCATTGCAGCCGCGTACGGCCCAGAGTTGCCGGAAGAGGTGGAGGAATCACCGAATTCGGTCAGAGGGATCTGTCCTGTCCTGGGTGAGGAATGATGCAAAATCACGAGATTGAAGGTGCTCTTTCAGGTGTGTGATTTCAGGGTTCGCTGACGTGGCTCCGAGAAATGAGGTGTTAGCTGATTGTGCGAGGGAATCCTGGTCTTTGATGTCCAACCGGGCCTTAGCTTTCAACTTTGCCTGTTTGTTGTTCCTGCTTACTACTTGAGGGAGATCTGCAGCTGGGGTCCGCAGCACTGCAGACACTCCTTCATTCAGGTCTTGTGTCCAGGTGTCTATGCTTGATCAAGCCTGGAGTTTTCGTCTGGATTGAGGTAGTCTTGCAGAAACAGAATTATCTGGATTGCGCAGTGTTGTAGTGGCAGAATAGTAGTTAGCTTCGAAGGCTCTTGGCTTGTATCTGCTCATGTCTTGGCAGTCGAGTTCAGGACCCGCACGAGATGCTAGAGTGCCTTGATGCCGCCCAGCTGACTCGTGTCGGTTCGTTTTCCTACTTGCTTGTTGGGTGCTGGGGCATCCTTGAAAGGATGACTTTTTCCCGCGGTTAAGTATGATATGAACGGACGGAAGCTTTGATTCCTGTATTAATCCAAGGTCACCTGCAGGACGCTTCAGGGCATGCAGGTCCAGCTCGACTCCATGATGTCCCGAGCAGAGCAGTTGACTGTAGCAGCCCTGGACAGTGCACTGGAGCCTTTCGCCAAGCACAAAAGGCGCGCTCAAGACAGCTAACTGCAACTAGGAGCTGGGTAGGTAAACGACCTCACTTCAGCTTCCCACCGAACTTATGGCCTTGCCCTCTTGTCGACTCTTGCTCTTGAATGTAGCTCGTGCTAGAAAGGATAGACCTGGGGATTTGGTAGTTCATCGCCCGGTGTTCAGGATGGAGCATTCCGAGGAGGGAGCACGAAGAGCGGAGGGAAGCTCATCGCCTGCACTGGATATGCACCAAGCAGCAGAGTTGGAGGCGAAATGTGCCTCTGTTCTGTCAAACCTGGAGCAGCGAGTGCGCGAAGAGGAGCGGCTTCAGGAGAGATGCCAAAGTATTATGCGAGCACTGGACACCCTCATGCACGATCCAGACTGTGGGCTGGCCATTGTGAAGCAGTCTGTTGTTTAGTCCGCGCATGCATCATCTCATGGATTTCGAAGATGGCACCCTGCGCGAGATTGTTGACGAGCGTCGAACCGAAGAACAACTCCGTTTCGCTTTCTGTTCAAAATTTTAACAACGGGCCGTGTCGCGTCGCTACTGTGCAGGTGGCAAAGTTGCCCTGCGACGCACGGAGAGCCGGTGAATACTTGCTAGGTTCAAATGATAACTGACATAAGAAGCATCTAACTGGCATAGCCAATGCATGCAATGCCCATGAGCAACGATCGCAACAATGCACCGCCTTTCCAGCGCCTGCAGGTTGCCTTGTATCCGTTGTACACTCGGATGTCTCACCGATAATGTCCCGGTCGCTCCTTGACAGCCTCTGCACTCCGCTTCAAAACTCACTCGAAGTTGAGCCGCTGACACGCAAGAACGGGATGAATTCAAAACCCACCTGGACCCACTTGTCCGCAGAATCTGTGGCTCACGGAGGCCACAGGGAGCGACCTTCTGGCTGTCGTGATGACCGTGGCTCTGAGCCGCCTCTGCAAAGGGACGGCGAGGTTAGCGAGAGAAAAAGGCCTCATTCTAGGGCTCGGTTTCTGTTCCAGAAGAGGGATGCGCGCATCGGTGTGTGTCCCCACAAATATGTTGTGCCAGACCTACATCATCCTGCATCATTTGCGAGGTTGCCTTTTCAAAGAAGTTAGATACTGCGCCTTGCGTTAGGACGGACACTGTATATTGAGCGACAGAAACGACCAAGATTCTGACGGTGACCTAAAACTCCCATGCCCTTGCCATGTGTGGAGAAGCCGCGAAGCCTTGTGCAAGGCTGGCGTCCCTGCGTCACTCGCGCCCGAGCTCTCAGAGGCGGTCAACATGCCCTTTTCCTCTTCCTCTTCCTGGGGAGTGTGTGGTGTCGAAATTGAAGTGGTTAAGCCGCACTATGCACACTATGCCTTCGACATGCAGAGCTGCAAGCAGAGCTGCAGAGCCTTCCGGATGCCAGGCCGAGTGCTGCCGCTGGCTCGGCATCTTTGCCCGGCGGAGATACACAGCGAAGGCCTCAGCTTGCCCGAACCGTGCTCGAACTTGAAGCCTGGTGGATAAGACTCAAAAGAAATCACCATTCGCCGGTATCGATAGAGCTGGGATTCGGAGCCTTCTTGCGGCATCGGCTGTGCTGACGCCAAGATCCTCCTCTTCCTGGGACCAGACCGCGCGCAGCTGCGTATGGAGCAGGTTGAAGCTTCTGTGCCAGCCCCAGAGTTGACAATCCGAAGATGCGGATGTGCAAGCGAGCAGCTCATTTTTTCCCAGGAAAGCGGAGATGAAGAAGAAGTGGAGGAGATAGAGGTGCGGTCTTGTGCAAGCACGCCGATGGGCTCTGATTTCCCGTGAAACCCCGGACCATGTTACATTGCAGTGGTTGTGACACTTGCTGAACGCTGTCGATGCCGTCATCGCCAAGCCAAAGAGCTTGAGCTCGACCAGACATGATGCAGTCGTACCATACTGATAGACACTGATAGAGTCCTGGCCGTTTGTGGAAAGCCAGAAACCTTGTCCTCTACTGCCGAAAGGCTTGCCATCGAGACTTCAGATGACTTGTGTTGCAAAAGGCAGACAAGACTGAAGACCACCCGAAACCCCGACTTGTCGAGCATGAGATGTCTCTGCCACTGGCCTTGGCCTCTTCATCGGCCCCCTTGCGGATCCTGGGCCCACGCATGTCCTGGCGGTGGCGACGCGTGGTGGTCATCCTTTTGGCCGTCTTCTCCAGCTCTGAAGGTGAGGATTAAGCATGTTTGGGTTGGTGGCCTGTTAGGGGCGCTTGTTTGTGGCATTTCGACATGCAGTGAAAGTTTAACTTCTGTCAATGCCGGTCTGTCATGTAGCACAGCGCCAGGTGGGCCTTTGGAAGAGCAGCAGGAGCAGCAGTGCCTGCATCTGGATGGTTACCCTGGGCGCTGCCCAGTCTACATCATGAAAGGCGCTTGCTATAGCCCTTCGTCAAGAAGAGTTTGATGTGAGCTTGGAGTGCTAGGTCCTCTGTTCATCGATCTTCCGCGTGAGCGTGTCAGCACCACTGTTGTGCTATGCCCACATTCATGCGGGCGGGGGCTCAGGTGATGAAGAGGGCGTGGCCTGGGCCTGCATGACTGACACCGGCCTGCAGATGAATGGCACTTCTAGTCGCAATCGGATTGGGCCCATGTATGCGCCAGCAAATCGCCAGCCGCAGCAGTCGCGAAGCAGATTTCCCACAGAGATTCTGACCACCTTTTGTTGTGTTTCTCCGTCCTAAATCCTACACCTCTAAACCCCTAAACCCCAAAACCCCTGAACCTAAACCCCTAAACCCTAAACCACAAATCGCTAAACCCCTAAACCCCAAAAACCCCTAAAGCCCCAAACCCCTAAACCCTACTTGAAGGATGGCTTGGACGCTGTCCCACCGGCAGGATGCAGCTCCATGCGAGCTTGGCAGCATCTGGCGAGTCCCGACTTGGGAGTTCCCGAAAAAGGAGGGTTACCTTATTTTAAGGTCCTTATAACGAGGATCCCACTATTTGGGGTACTTTCTTGGGGTCCCCCATTTTCGGAAACTCCCACTTGGATCCTTCGGGTTTTCAAGAGTTCGATGCCCCAAGCCCTAAAACGCGAAGCCGCTGAACCCCAAACCCTTCTGGCCGAAGCTTCACAAAATCACCAAAGACGTGGAGGTCAGGTTGGCTTCTTGTTGATGTTTGGACGTCAGATTCGGCTTGTGATCCCTCTTCGGGTGCCACACCCGGGGCGCGTGTGGCGGGGCGGTTGGGCCCTGCATGAACCCGCAAGCCTAAACTTCAAGCTCTCAGTCCCAAAACCCTTCAATCGTACGGTCTCGGGTTCCGGGTGGATGGGTTTGGGTTCGGGATTCAATTCGGGATCCAAAGTAAAACAAGTTTCCTTATCATTCTATAGTAATTAGTATGGTTTCCTTATGATGGTCTGCTTCAGGCAGCTGCCGCCTCCACATAAGGGCGCCTATGCAGGCCGGTGCAGACCATCTCATCAGATGCTAGATGCGAGATCTGACAGTGGCCGTTGCCACCCTGCGTTCGTCCAGCTGGCATCATCGATTCCTTTCTTTCAGAGGTTTCTGCATGCCTCCGACTCTTCCGTCTTGCGCCGCGCTTGTGGTACGCATGGGAAAGACGGTCTAAGTTCCTCTTGCCGCTGTGATGTAGGCCTCTCTCTCTCTCTCTCTCTCTCTCTCTTTCTGTGCCTTTCTGTGCGGATGATGCGAGCATTTTGAAATTGAAGTGTTCACCTGCACAGGCTACTGCAGCTTTTCTCTGCTCCTCGTCTACTCATTTTTGGCAAGAGATTCTGCTTCTTCGTTCCAGCACACCAGTTGTGTTGGAACAGTCTGCCCGGCATGCGGCATGACCGCATCAGGAAGCCGACGACGCCAACGACGACCTGGGCTTAGTGGGGAAAGGCTTTCGGTGTCAGGAAGGAGGGCAAAGCACTGTGGCTCTCAAAGACAACATCCTCATTTGCAACTGATACGTGAAAGTGTGATGAAGCAACGGGTCGTACCCGTGCTTATCATTGGCCATAGGAGATTGCCATGAGCCGTGGTAGACAAGTTCTGATCATGTAGGAATTCCTTCAATACATGCGGCACTTGATGTGATGTAGATACTGTCTGAGTAGTAACATCAATCTAATGCTGCGCAGTACCACACTGTCCTGTGCGATGCTTTGCGATGACATCTTTGGCGGTGGTTTGCCAAGTCGGCTTGTTGTGGGTGTTGCGACTGCTTGTGTGGAGGGGCGAGTGACAGTGTCCCCGACCAAAGAGCGAGGGAGAAGCCTGCTTTCCTAAGTATATTCATGTTCACTGCATCTATGCAAGCAATGTCAGACGAATGCATCGTCAGCAGCAGGTAAATTGTGTGCATAAGCTAAGATATCCAGAAACAAGCACATGCAATTCTCGTACGTGTGTATACAGATGCAAAGGTGATTTTGGCCTTTGGCGTATATGCACACACGGACATGTATATTGCATGCGCACTGCATGCATGAATGCCTGCATGGGCACATAATTGTGCAGGTCTAGTGCAAGCTGGACCCGCAAAGCCAACTGAGGGACAAGAGGTTGTGCAGCTTCACATGTGCATTGAATCCAGGACAAGCACAACGACTCCTTGTCCCGTGTCAAGGACTGTCAAGATGCATGATTCAAGCATGAGTGACTTGTGACGTCTTTGATCTGACTTGGCAGGCAAATGTACATGGCTTTGGCTGAGTTTCTTTGTTGTGCACCTTGTAGCTTCCCACCTGGCTAGTTGCTAATGTCAATGGGTGCAGAGTAGCATTGTGTGTAATGTAATCTTCACGAAGTTACTAGACTGCTCGACAACATCTTGAGGTGCTGCAGAACATAGGTCCACAAAAATCCATCTGTTCTTAGGCTGCCTGTCTGCACAGGCTTCGCATCGTCAACCGGTGTTTGGAGAAGCCTATTTGGATCGCACATGAGGCAGGTGCCGTGGGCAGTGTCCAGTAAACTTTGGACGGTGGGCTTGAGGCTGTCGACTTTTTCTTTGTCCATCTGCATGTTTGGCACAGGCCGCCGGAGGCAAAATTGGCCCCAGCCGGCAGATGCCTGGCTGCCAGGGTTGTTTCTTCATTGTCTTGCTCGAAGGCCCTCTACCGGGTTCTCCTTTTCCAAGTAGCTTCAGAGACATGTCCAGGGTCTTCAACTGCGTCGCCTGGATGGGGGTCTGTCGGACATCTGAGCATTTTTACCTCAGAGTGAAAAGCAAGTCACGACAAGGTCACCGGTTCTGGGACCAGCTGCGCATTCCAAGGAATGTGAAGATCGAGCCAGATGACTTTCATGACTTTTGCACCCCTGACAAGCTGGTAGGCACGGCTCGGGTGTATTGAAAGCCAACATTCGACCGACTCGGCACGGATATCAAATCGTGTGGTGCTCCGACCTGGATTTTCAGTTGCGAGGCACTCGTTACTGGCCAAAGATGCTTTGTGACGAAAATGGCGTGAATTGCTTGCCACTTGGATCCAACGTAACATTCTGCAGGTCCAACATGTCTGAGCTTCTGCTTCTGGCTTTCGGCACGGTGGTATGAATGAATCACAAACAACACCAAGCCTTCGCTGCGCAGTTTTGCGTTTCGCATCCAGGTTGGGAAGCAGCGGAGGGCCCGGAGAAGGTTGCAGCGCCCCGGCCCGGCAGATCTCGTAACGCCTTAGCACGGGACTGGACTTTCTTCCTTCTCTGAAAGCCGTGGGCCGTGGCAGGCGGCTCCGGGCAATACCTCTCCTGCGCGCCGCCCATCGACACGAAGTTCGAGGCGACCTTCGGCCGAAGAGGAGCCTGGGTTCGGGGCGTCCCGGCTTAGTCGGTGGCTTCAGCTTTGGTGGACCTGGCTGCCAGGAGCACCCTGCAACGGCCAGAGCTCGCAGGATTGCGACTTCGTTGACGTCAGCTTGGCAGCTTGGTTCAGCTGCGTGCAGTTCCCGCGTTTCCCTGCGCGATTTGCGGAATTCAATCTTCCCTTCCCCTCCTAGCAGAGCGTTGGAGCAGACGAGGCTTTTGCTTGCTGTGGTAACTGCGAGCTATCGTCCTGCCAATCGAACCTGCACGATCTTTCTGCAGCAGGTCACCGCAGGGTATGCCATGTCACGATGCGCTTGCATACCCAGCGCGTCATAAATCACCAACTAAAACAAGGCCTCCCGTTCTGTCAGTTTTGTGTTTAGGCTCGTTATAGTGAGTCGGATTTTGTGATTTGCTCTCGGCTGAGACCCTGAAGTGCTTGCGGCGAAGTTGGAGTGGTACGGGAGTAGGTGACGAAACTATAACGATACTGCATGGACCCATCGCCTAAGCGGCCGTCCGGCGCTTTCAGGTAGACGGCTGGACGTTGCCCTTTCGGCTTCTCATCGCTGGAAGCTGTTCCGGAGGCAGACGGTTCACATACTGCGACAGGAAGCTGCACGCGAGGAAAATCATACCTTCCCAGACGTGCCGGCAACACTGAGTCAATTTGTGGTGGTACGAAGGAAAAACCCTGTCACTTCGTTTGTCGAGCATCTCTTGAAATCCAATCCTGCGAGGCTTGAACAGGCAAGAGTCATGAGTCATTAGGAGAAGCTGAAGTTTCTCTGGATCCTGTGGTGGCCCTCTTCCATAGGTGGCAACTTGCATCCCGACGAGATAGACTGCTCAGGCCGCTGGTTTGGTGAAGGTCCAGAGAGATAGAAGATAGCAGTATGAACGTCTGGTGCTGTCGCTCTTTTAAGGTCATCATTTTGGCATGCTCTTGTTATGAGAGACAGGCAATCAGCCAGATGCAGATTCATGGGCGGAATGGATAGAGAGGTTGTTTTTAGGCGGAAGGAGGTCTGGGGTGGTGCCTTACCAGTGCAGGACTGACATTCGAGCAGTGCCCCACAGAAGAAAGGCTGGGAACGAAGACCTTTGCCCCTCAGCTCAAGAATAGTCCTAGTGGTCAGAGTGCAGAAGTCGAGCCTTGCCCGGACGTCCGAGAGCCTCTGAGCAAACTCGCGTCGCAAGGATATGCAGGCCCGGCATTGGGGAAGTGGCAGCATCGCTGGTTGCTACAGCCCCTGCCTCAAGCTGACGGATCCCAAGTGGAACAATACGGCATCCAGAGGCCTGCCTGCTTCAAATGAAAACCGTGTTGTCAGAGATTAGCGTCGCGGTTCGCTCCAACCGATGTCTTCGCCGCTGAAAATCCACAAGCTCGGGTGTATTCATACGAGTCTAATCTTAGCCAAACATCGACAAACAGATAAATGAATCGTGACCTTGCTAGCAAACTGACAGTTGATATCAGTACGAAATGCGTATGCGTATGCGTATGAGTTTGCGAATGCGTGGGCGTAGGCGTAGGCGTAGGCCTAGGCCTGGGCCTAAGTGTAGGCGTAGGTGTAGGTGTAGGATGTTGTAGGTGTAGGTGTACGGGTTTGTGTATGTGAATGTGTGTATCTGTGTATCTGTGTATGTATGTATGTATGAATGTATGCTATAAATAAGTGTATGAAGATATACATATATGTATATATGTGTATAGCAGAGAGATAGAGAGAGAGAGAGAGAGAGAGAGAGAGAGAGAGAGACCTTCCCGTGAAACTGGTGGGGGAACGAACAACCCGTGAAACGCGGGTGTGCGGACCCGCACAGGGGGAGGGCCCTGAACGCTGGCCCAACCCCTAGGCCCGGTAGAGAGAGAGAGAGAGAGAGAGAGAGAGAGAGAGAGAGAGAGAGAGGAAGGAGAGAGAGAGAGAGAGAGACCCCGAGCAAAGCAAAGAAAGAGAGAAAGAGAGAGAGAGAGAGAGAACGAGAGCGTCACAGAGCTCGAACACTGGCCTAACCTTGAAGCGCACAGGGGTTGGGAGCACGTTTCCCTATCTCCAGACGCCTTGCAAGCAAGCAAGCAAGCAAGCAAGAGAGAGAGAGAGAGACAGCAAGAAAGGTAGGTGTCAGGTGAGGCTTCTGGGGGTAGTTCCTGCAAGGCGGTGTGTCAGGCTCCCTTTGACATGAACCTAATCGTGCTCGCAACTGCTGCAGCTCTAAAACAGGGCAACTGCAAGGCCAAGCGGGGGGTTGTAATTGGATTTCAGTAGGGTGTTTTGTTACCGAAGGGGGTTCTCCTGCAACTGAGGCCTTTCGTAAGCCAGATCTCTTACCAGACACAGACAGCCACTGCGCACTTGAGTGCAGCGAGGGGGTCGCCCTTCTTTCTTGTCTACGTGGAAGAAGAGAGAACAAGGTGCGTGTACATGTACAAAAGAAAACTGCCTGAACAATATGTACACGCATACACATACATCTATACATCTCTGATTATACATACAGATTTACATGCATACATACATGGATATGTACACACATATGTATGTTGTCGTATGGGCATCCACAACTATATCTTTGTTCCAGTTTGTTTTATCATTCTCGCTGGATCTCCCACACCCTCATTCTTGATGTATGTCTCGGTCTGTCTCCCTGTCTGCCTCACCTCGGTGTGGTGTGAGCGCGTGTATGAGTGCGCGAGCCAGCTTGGTTTGTGTGAGCGTGTTCGCAAACATATGCACCAGGGTGTGCGCGTAGTGAGCAAGCTGCAAGCAGTTGTGTTCGTGAACATGTAGGTTTTGTGTGCGTGCATGAACGCATCAGTGATGTTTCAGGCCAGAGAGTGCAGGCATACTCTTGGGTAAGGCACAATGCTTCTTTTCTGCACTTTCATAATGGGTGTATTTTCTGCATGTGTTCGTGTACAGATGCCGGCGCGCACGCTTTTGCACGGGTGTGTGCGCGGTGCCTTAATGCTCTATGCCCGTTTTGGTGTTCCTTGCCTTCAGGCAGTAGGATGGGAGAACGCGCTTCAACGAGGCCATCTCTACCAGTCTTCATCATCGTCATGTCCCAAATCTACAGATGTGACAACGCCCTGCTTTGCAGCTCTTCTTTGCTGAGAGAAGCTGGCAGCCCTTGACAGGTCGCTCACGGACCGACGACGTGGCTGCACCCTACTGCTGCCCCACTCCACCGATCTCTCCCCAGGCTCCGGGATTGCCAAATGGAGCAGATTCCGCCTGTTGTTTTGTGGAGATGCATGACGAAGTATGAATTTTGAAGCCTGCCGACCACTCTAAGTCTCTCCGAAGCCTCCCGGGGACTTCGGAGCCCCATTCTGAGGGCCCGAACCCGAAGCTCAGCAGCCTCGCGGCCAACCCGATTCCAAGGCTTGTCGCGCGGGCCCAGTGGAAGAGAGCCTTGGCCAGATCAGCAGCTACCGTTACTGTTGTGCTTATGATATGACTAAAGTGAGTATTGTCATGATGATGGCGATCATGATATGATGATTGTTGCTGATGGAGTAGTATAAGCACAGTTCTACATACATATTCGCGTTGTTGATCGTTTTGCACTCCTTCTTAAGCCTTATGATATCACATGCAGCATCACAAGCCCGAGCAGGTGATGCCTGCTGCCGCAGTTGCAACGTGCGTGCTGAATGCGATGGGATAGTCTTGTTTCGTGTTTCAGATCATGTAGGCGGTAGTGGTAGTGGTGGGAATTGGTCCTGGCTTTGAAGATGTGTTAGGGTTGGGTGTGGTGGAGGACGTCCGGTTGTGGCCGGTAGTAGTCGTTCCTCGACAGCAGAATGCATGTATCGGATGGTCGAAACAACAGTCGATCACCTTGACCTCCATCTGCTGAGGACTGAATATGTCAAGGCGGTTCACAAATACTGCTGCTGGCCTTGTTGGATGATCAGGTTTGCAGCAAGAAGCAGGGCCACATTTCGATCTTGCCTTGACTTATGCGGATGCGCAGAAGTTCATATCCAGGTCCAGGCGTCTACGCCTACTGTTATGATGATGCGATGGGTCTGCTACAATGCTCTGCGGATTCCAACTATGAGCTCGAATTCTTCTGCGTCTCGGTTGCAACTGTTGCCGTTACCGTGCCAGCACATCTCCGATGCCTGGTCCCCGCTGCTCGGCTGAGACTCAGGCCCCTGGCCGATGCCGTCCTGGAACTATGTCTGGGTGACCAGCACTCGCACCAGTTCCTCGCATACAGAAACGTCAGCTACCTCCACCCGCACATCCACCTCCTTCACTACCAGGACTGCTTCGTCCACAACTCTCGGCAGCACCCTCACCTCGACCCGTACATCGGTCACAGCGACGACTGCAACTGCAACTCGACAAGAGCCAGATTTTTTTCAGCCTGGATGCATAGCCCACGGAAGTCGCAAGCCATACAGAAATCCAGCTGGGAGGGTCCCAGCAATCCTAAGGTAACAAAGACGACGAGGACAACCACAAGCCATGAGCAGGCAAGTGGACCTCTGTGAGCTTGGTAGGTTTGCCTGTGCGTCCTCGGCACAAGGCTGGAGCAATGGGTGCCAAAAGGACAGCAATGGCAAAGCTAGAGCCATTCTTGCTTCTGTTGTCCCCTCGGTACAGCCCTAGGAGTGCCTTCCTAGATTTGCAAAGCTCGCCTTCATTCAGGAGGCATGCGAAGATTAGTGGAAGCAATTCTGCCACCACATCTCCAAGTCCCAGCTCAAGTGCCGTGGTACAAGAGCAATGTGATCCGAGTACGCGTATAGATATTTATTTGGGCCCCTACATTAGAATTGATAGCAAGAGCATTCTCTCGACTCTGGGTCTAGCGCTGAGCCACGGACCCCAAGTAATGAACTAACAGGTTCGCTACCCTAGGAGTTCGAGGCGAAAGCACGAGCAACGTAAGCTTGATTCGTGTGGCCTGAAAAGATGTTGCATGCTTTCGGCATGCAGATTCCGATCCGAGGGTTTTCTGCTCTTGGGCTTTTGGGTCCAGGGTAGAATTTTGTTTCTGATTGAGTATCCCTGCGTGCTTCTGACTTCGTCTGCCATGCCGACCTCCCAACACGCCGTACCTCTGAGTAGAAAGATGAGGAGGGGAGGGTTAGATCAGAAGTCGCCGCCCCCCCCCGTTGCCGTTCACCATCGTTTGTTGCTCTAGCCAGCGGCGGCGCTGTCGTGTCGTCGTGCTGTCGGGCGTGCAGAGGGCCTGGCATTGGGTGTTTGGTGAACTATAGGCTGGGGTATTTTTTAGCTGAGTTGAGTTGTTGCCCAGGTGCCGTTGGTCTTGATGTGCCCTCGAAACAGGCGAAATCTGAGGGCTCAGAGGCACGTCTGCGGGATTTAGAGTCGGCGGTGGGGATTGGCGACGTGCAGGGCCGAGGTTTAAAGACTATTCTGTGCACGATGGGCTTGCAAATTGAGTTTGGCGACCTTCATGGAGCTGCCAGACATAGGCATGATCCCGAACTCGCGTCGAATCTGGATGGCAGGGGCTGTATGCAGGTGAGATCTTCACAAGACATGCTGTAATGAGAATTGGCGGCAGGAAGGGAAGATGGTTGTTTTGAAGAGCAACACATGCAACGCGACGGTCGGAAACTTTCGAGTTCAGGCTTTTTATGTCATTGCCGGATGCTCGCTGGGAGCCGTCGCCGGACAGCAACCAAGGTATTTCAATCAGCTGGGTTGTCTGCTCTCCGGTAGCTGGACAACGTGTTCTCTGTTCTCGAGCTCTCTCTGGCAAACTCTTGTCGTCTAGTTTGCTCATATTGACATTCCGTGATGTTTGCTGTTGCAGTCGCAAAGGGGACGATGCGCTTCCGGGGTGATCCAGCACCCTGCCCAGGTCGCCGTGGCAGCTTTGGGCCTCTGTGTGTGGCATGGTGCCTGCCCTGTGAGGCAGCTTGCGAAAGAAGCGGGGTATTTCCTGGGTGCATTTGCTGGCTCCTCATGACCCCAAGCAGTGGTTGCCTCCCATATGTATTTCTTTGCCTGCGAGCCATCTCTTGTCGACGCGGCTTGTGTTGATTGGTCTATTGCGTTTCGAGTCTTGTGTGAGCAGGCATGACATCGATCCACAGCCATTGCTGCCAGCGGAGTAGGCGCGATTCACTTGGTGTACTGTAAAGGTTTGAGACTTCTCCGGAATTCCTAATGGTCTCCTCCACTTCTGGCTGACAAGGGGATGCGCCGCTAGCAGAGACTTGGCTTGGCGTGACTTGCGAATCGTCCTGTCGTGAACTGAGGTGGGCCTCCCTTCAGCTTCCTGAACCAGATTGGAAGGATCCGTGAGCGAAGCTGCAAAGTCCCACTGGGAGGACCCGGCTAACGTCGGCTTCGTAAGATGCCTTCGTGTTCCTGAAAGATCATCATCATGCCCGAGGAAGTCTTTTTGCCTTCCTTCGTTGAAGGTCACTAGTGCACCGTTTGTGCCCAATGCGTTGGAAGTGTCGCAAAGATGACGGCAACTGCGACTATCTGCGACTGCGAGCGGACGGCGGATCCAGAAACACGTGTGTGCCCACAGTGTCCTGCTGTACGGCCTTCACTGGGTTCGGGTTTATTGAGCTTCGGGTTCTGGCACGAAGCTGCGGCGCAAAGCCTACACTACGCAGCTGTTCGTAGTGAGAATGGTGCAGATGGGTTTACAATTCTATGCCTATCATCGTGGAAGTGAGTATTGCATGCGCAACATCACCATCAATCATCTAAGATGCCTAGGTCCCGAAGTTGTCCACACATCTCTTCGCAGAAGCCGTCTCGGTGCGACTTTGCATTCGGACCCGTCCGCTATCCCTAAATCATACCCGGAAGTCCCCGACAGCGATGCTAGTAGCGCTCAAGAAACCAGAAACAATGCGCGCAGATTTCTTTGGAGCCTGGCATGCTGATAGCGGTGCGCAGCGACCAGTGGTCCTTGAGGTGCAAAACTCCGAAGACTGAAGCTGCAGTTTTTCAGGTGTTGGGTCCTTGGAACTGCTGCTATCTGCTGCATGCCCGCTTGTGCGACTCGCAGCTTCAGGGACTCACCGGTAGCCCGGCGTAGGAATGCTGGAAGCTGAATTTGGGTTGAGCCCGGGCGATTCCAGACTCAGACTCGGACCACAGCCGTTCCCAACTCCTGCAGGCTGCGAGCGCGTGGGCGCAAGCATGCGTTCTCCTTGACTTGCTTTGTGCAGGACTCTCTGAAGCCAACGGCGCAGTCTGCATGCATGAGAGATCCACTTTCGACAAGCTTTCCTAGAGCAGTTGCCTGGTGAGTAATGTCAGCTTTACTGGAAGCTCACATGAGCCATTCTGGCACTGCAAACTTTCGTCGGAGAGTCTGTTGAAAACTGCAATGTTCTCGGACTGAAGGCTGTTACTGTCAATAGGCTAGTTCCATTAGAGACAGTCTGCGATGCGAATTCCGGGCAAGCCTGTTTTCTGCTATGCAGTGCACGATTGTAAGCTCATTCCTTTCTGTTTATTGCGTGGCTTGCAAGACTATGTCGCGTGGTCTGTTGCATATTGCATGGTTGACGCTTGAGATTCGTGAAAAATGACTCGCAGCTGTGCCTATCGCATACCAATCATGAGACTGCATGTCTGTAGACAAACTATTGTACAAAGAGAGAACACATGACTAGATTCGCCTTCATGCGCTGGACGAAAAGCGATTTATACTTTACAGAGCAACTAAGAACACACATAGCCGAGCAGTTGCAGCCGCCATCTGTGCCGGCTCCCTGTCGTGCAGCAGGCCATGCCGCAGGCACCCCACATGCCAACACATTACTTCACCCTCAGCTGTGCTTTGATTTGTCTTGCCGGGACAGTGCTTGAAGGCTGCGCACATTCAGTCTCTTCTTGTGCACCATGCAGAGTTTGTTACACTGAATTCGTCCCGATTCGTCCCTGGAAGAAAATTGCGAGAAATTGAGTGCGTGCACCTCAGTGAACGATAGACACCGGGAGCATGTGCTCCATACTGGACCACCGCTGCCATGCTTGGCTCTGTCGGTGAATGCTGTTTTTTTTTTTTTTTGCTCGCGCGACCTCGCATGCACAGCGGGGGCCAGGTGATGGATGCGGACTTTCGAGAGTAGAGGTTTTAGTACCCTGGCCTGCTTGCCTGGCTCTGGTGCTGCTAGTCGTCAGGTCGTGCACCGCTCGGAGGAGGAGGAGACCCCGTTGCTCTGCTGTACCTGAGGGCACTTGCACGTGTGCACACGTGCAAGTGCCTGAGCCAAAACTTTGGACAGGCGACAACTTATGCAATCTCATTGGCGCGACCTTGTGCCCATACTGCTAGAGTCACCAGGATCCATTGTTGGGAGGTGAGGATCTTCGCATCGGTTGTGGTGCAGGAGGGCTGGTAGTCGAAGTCATAACCGTGGCCCTTTTCGCAGTCGTAGTCGCAGTAGCAGGAGTAGTAAGTAGTGGTGGCAGCAGAAAGAGGGCGTGGAGGAGGACTAACCGTGCGACAGCAGTAGTAAGCAGCAGAAGTAGAAGTAGACGTAGAGGTAGAGGTAGAAGTAGAACTAGAAGTAGGAGTAGAAGTAGAAGTAGTAGTAGGAGACGGCTTGTAAGTCGGAGTAGCGGCGTAGCAGCAGCCGGCAGATAAGGCACCAGGGGCATTTTCGGGGAGAGGGGGTTCGCGCAATGGCGCGCCTGAAGCGATCGTCGCCGGTGCGTTTTACATAGTTGCAAATCAAGCTGTGTACAAACAGCGTTTGCTAGTGTAACTGATGTTAGTGCCAAGCGCAACGGTAAGAGACGACAAAGTTGCATTCGCGAGAATGAGGGTGCTTGCAGGGGCAGGGCTGAGAACAACAAGAGCCCTCGCGATATTTTGCGGAAGGACATTGCACCTCTTTCCATTTCGGGCGTATGGCGCTCGGTGGCCGTTCAGCTGGAGGCGGGCATCTGTGATTGCAGTAACCAGCGCAAGAGTCCATTTTAGGCTGGAAGCTTAAACCGCGAAGTGCAATGGCTGCATTTAGCAACTGGAACTAGTCCGAGAATGCCGTAGCAGCAGCAACAAGTACACGTAACGCATCTATCTGCAGCAACAAGAGCCGCAGTGCCGTGATAGATCAGCGCAGGTCTACAAGGAGCGCCCCGCACCTAGCTGCGCTTTCTCTCTGGCCCTGCTGACCTGGCTTGCAGCTCTCTACAGGACTGTCTAAGGTTCAGGGGTCACGAGTGTGTGGTTGGGTGGTCCTGTAATGTTCCGGACTTTCGTTTAGGCTTTACTTGGCACTTACCGTGGATTTCCTTTGCAGCTGGGGAGTGTTTTGATTGTTTGGCTGTGACGTTCTTTGGCCTTGCATTGTTCGTGCGACACTTTCGCACTCGAGCGTTCGTCAATAAACCCTGCACTTGCTTCTTCGTATATCATAATCATGCCGTCCTGGTAGGAATCGGTGAGCAGCTTTGGATGCAAGTATATTTGTGTCTAGAGATACTCCAAGCCCGAAACCCCGAAACCCCTAAACCCTAAACCCCTAAACCCCTAAACCCCTAAACCCCTAAACCCCTAAACCCCTAAACCCCTAAACCCCTAAACCCCTAAACCCCTAAACCCCTAAACCCCTAAACCCCTAAACCCTAAGTTCCAGGGCAGTTGTATCGCGGCACCAGGATTCTGCGGACGGATTTTCCGCCGCCGGGCCCGGCAGGTGACAACGTCTGGCAAGGGGTCCTTTTAGGGATCCTACAAGGGTCTCATTAAGGGTTCCTATAAAGGTTACTATAAGGGTTCCCTGAAGGGTTCCCATACGAGTTTTGGGTTTGGAGCTTTAGGCCACCGCCTATGTGTTTTTTGGGGCTCAAACTGAGTTGCTATGCACTTAAGTTTCGTCCTCTTGAATCTGCAGGCAGTGGAAAGTCGCACCAAACAATCGCGTTTCTGACACCACGCCCTGTAGCTTAAAAGTTGTGAACCCAATGCTCTAGCCTTGTCTCGAGGCCCTCTACAACTGATAGCTCCTCAGATACTCGTGATTTTCGATGCCCATCTCTCCAAATCGACTGTGGCTCCCGAGCTTCGAGCTTGCCTCTTGTCCAGCCATCTCCTCGCCTTAGCCTGGAGCCCAAGCCCAAGCACTGGCTCCTGGAAGTCGTGAAGCACCGAAACACGGCAGGGCTTTGCATGGACCCCGCCGCCGTGCGCTTCGCCCAGGGCTTCGAGGCTTGTGCGCGTTCAAGGGTTGAAGTTGTGACCTCGGGAATAGGTTGTTGCAGGAGGCGAGCGTCCAGAATAGTTGGCTTTGGCGCCTTCAGTGCGTGTGGCGGTGTCGGGGTCTGAGTACTGCTTTTCGATCCCAGGGCGGACAGGCTCAGGTCCAGGCTGAGGGATAATGCCGAGAGACGAACTCCGCGCTTGAATGTGCCTGAGTTGTACGACAATTCAGATTGGGATGAACGGGTCAGCAAGCCTTGTTGAGACACTCCTTTGATGTGGTTGGAGAAGAGCCTTATGCAAAAAAAGGAACTTCATGCTAATGCTACGCATGCCAGGCGAAGCGTTGGCTGCTACATGCCTTGTGGCCGCTGGAGCCAGGCTATTGCAAGCCTTTTCGATTATTGTGGTTTAGAACCATGGCCTGAAGCATGCCTTGATCACTATGGGAGACTACCACAAAGCAAGCATGGATTCCCAGGAGCTCACAAAAAGGGAAAAGGAAGGAGCCCTGCATGCAGACCTGTCCATCCAGAAAAGGTTTAGCATGCTTGTATCAGTACCAAACAGTTTCAGAAAATGGCCTTGGCCGTGCACAGCCGGAAGAATCTTGGCCACTCGGAAGGCTACCTGCGCGGTTTCCTGAGCTCTTCGCTTCTATTGGCGGCTTGTCGACGTTTTGGATTCAAGCTTCCCGAACTCAGGACGAAAAAGTCGTTGCCAACGAATCTTGACAATGAACAACGGTCTCTTCATTACGAGGCAGTTGTAGGCAATACCGACCTCGGTAGTTTGTTCCACATCAACGAACAGATACAGAAGTGTTTACGGACATGGCTAACACTATGTTCAGTTGTAACACTACGCCGAAGTAGATGAAAGCTTCAATTGGTTTAAACCCTTGCGAGCCTTTTGAATAACTGACCGTAAGCGCTTGGAAAGACGTCTTCACAACAGGAGCCTTGACGTTTCAGTGGTGATGAGGAGGACAAGGATTTGTGTTTTTCTTTTGGGGTGGCTGTGCTTGCTCCTCTTGACCGACGTTGCTGCTCCGTGAGGCGATGCTGTGGGAGTGGCCATTCAGACGTTATGCCTGTAGCTTCAAAGCTCCCATGATCCTCTGTAGGCATCCGCGGCCCGAAGTCCCGAGGTGTTGGGTTACTCCCTGGAGTACGAGCTGGGCAGTGCGCACTTCTGTGGCCTCCTGCTGGGACTCCAGCCCCTGGGCAGAGCCCGGGTTTTTCGATCTGATGTTCCCTGTTCGGTGCCCAGGTGATTTCGGTACCACCTTGCCGGTTTCACGGTCCCCCATAGACACACTGGGAGAATGTCAGTGAAGCAGTGGCAGAGCATTTAGAGAGTCCAGAAGGATCCGGTGTGAGAAAATTCTGGTGCTCGGTAACCTTCGTGCATGAGCTTCATGACTTAACGTCGGATTGAGCGGTTTCATGTATGCTTTGGGAGCTAAACAGGGATGGAGTTTGGATAGCTTTCTATATATGTTGCAGTTCAGCAGTCTTTGTGTGAACGCCTGGTGTATCCGTACCAGGATTGGAGCTGCCTTCTTGTTGTTGCACTTTGGCTTTTCAATGTGGTGGCCTCAGCTGGTCGCAGAAACGCTTCGCCAATCTCGATGCGCTAGGCCCTAAACTCTAAATCCTAGCTTGCTTAGGTGTGTCATTTCCTTGGAGCCAGCGATGGCCGGCTTGGCGGTCATCGCCCACCGTGTGAACCCGAAGGCCGCCGTCCTTTCTTGCTGTAGTATTTTCTACCGAGGCGGCATAGGAGGCTTTCCGGGCCGTCTTAGGACCTCCGTAGGAGTCAATGACCAAGACAAGCCGGACGGGCTATGCAGATGATGCAGAACGGGAGAGGTTTGCACACTCTGGCTGATTTCTGTCAATAACGGAATGTTGCTGCTGCCGGCGATGCCCGCAGGTGCACAGCGACGGACTCGGCGCAGCATTGAAGCTGCCCTTCGAGGTGATCTGCCGGGTTGATATCTGTTTTGCAGATCCGGCTCTGGTTGCGCTGTGGGAAATGCTCCAGGTTTTCAGATTGCAGCTGCCTTGGCAGAACTCAAAAGGGAGCATGTTCCGCATACATGACCGCGGGCCATTCTATCCGCCCGGGAAGGACACGCTGTTCATCTAACCGTTTTACAGCCTTCTATGCTTCAGCCAGACTGATGGCGACCCTGCCAGGTTGAACCTCGATGGCACATCTGGGTTCTTTTGGGGCTCCTGCTGATGCAGGCCTGTAGTGCTGGTCATGCTCACTGTCTTGGTCAGTGTTATCTGCCTTTTCATTTCCGCACATTGGTCCAGGAAGTGTGCAGTGTTTTGTCGACAGAAGCGTGCAATGTTGGTGCAAGGGTTCGGCGGATCTTCGTCTTTGTATTGCATCCTGTGATTCAGGCTGGTGATTTCCCGAATGCCTTGGTGGTGCACGCTGCAGGTCGCATTCTTGCAAAAGCACTTTTCAGATTCGACGTACTGGGCTGCATGCAGGCACGACATGTGGATAGATGCGTCACGGGAATCAATCACCACGATCGCAACTAAAGCCACAAGCTTGCACCAAGAGATTCTCGTGTCCACTACAACTCACTTCCAGATCCTGGCAAGGGCCTTCACCCTGAAGTGCCCACCAGCCAAGTGGCCCCTTTTGCTGTCTGAGCTCGGCCAAGACCCGACTGCTGTGTCACCTCTGTCGTCTGCAAGCTTTCAGGGATCGAAGACTGAGGCCTCCTCCTTGGCGCAGTGGTGGTGTTGAGGGAGCCCGAGGTCCGGAAGAGCGAGAGACGCTTCCGGTAGGCCTCGAAGTCTCGTGCTGGATAGAACTAGAGTTGGACTGGCCAGTTTGTCTGTATTGATATTCGGGGTGAGGAGGCCTGGAGCTTCTCAGCTCGCAAGTCCGCGATCGTCCGTTCTGGAGGGAGAGAGAGAGAGAGAGAGACCTCGTCAGGCTGCCCTTACAATGTGGGAGGCGCCAGAGCGTGGGGGTGGGGGCGGCTCCCCCACTCTCTACCCTTTCGAAAGAAAGAGAGACCTAGATGGCCTTCTAGCCTTTTGAAAGAGGGAAAGAGATAGGTAGATAGATAGATAAATAGATAGGTAGAGAGGTGGATAGAGCAAATGCGCGCATTCTTGAGACTGTCCTGCACACTGTATGAGCCTGCAGACATGAACGAAACCAAGAGCCACAAGAAGCTTGCTGCACCCCACATCTAAAGCTGCTGAAGATCATGGACTTCGAATCTGTCTGTCTGTCTACTCTACTATAAATCTACTACCTCTAGTCGACGTCCGACAGACCCCGTACCTAGAAAGGTCTGGGGAGACGCTTGGCGTGCTTTGGTTGGCCGATCGTTCACCTGCGGGGCAGTGGCTCACATTGTGCCTGGGGACTTGGCTGCTCTCCGCTTCTGGCTGTGCTCCGGTGTAGGGTTTAGGGTTTGGATAGCGGTTCGGGTTTCTGGCATGTGGGGTTTCGCAGCACTGCGAGGTCTACAACTCTGGTGGTAGAGTGCGCGGGTTCAGGGTTAGAGATGTTGTGTTTGAGGGTAGCCTTTGTGAGAGTTGGGGGATGTTGGGTTTTTTTGCAGCTGCAGCATGTTCGCAATGATGCATTCGTGCTCCAGCTGTTCAGTGCTAACAGCATGGTGAGGTTTGGGTTGGGTGTGTAAGGTCAGGGGATGTCTCCAGCAATCCAAACAATGATCTGACCGAAGCGCTTGACTTGTTCGGGGTCCACGAGCCTTAAACAACCCCCATGTCCTCCTTCAAATGATGCTTGAAAATCTTCCACCAAACCTGAATCAGTTGCCAAGTGTTTGCTGGTATTGTTGGGTGGTGGTGGGAATGCGAATGGCATGGAGGCTGAGGGTACTTGGAGGTTCATGGGTAGTTATAAGAGGGGTTACAAGTTCTCTATTATGGGTTATCACTGTAGTTATCCTACTTATAATCCTACTTATAACTAACCATGAACCTCCAAGCGCAGCAGAGAACACGCATGCACATATTGAGCTCCGAGCTGTAACCGGCGAAGGCTGTTCGTCTTCACAATTGTCTTCATGCCGCTGACTGCGCTCGCCCCGAAACTTTCTGATTCTGGTTTGGAAAGAAGTCTTCGATGTTTCAGTGATGTGAGGAAGCTGAGACATGGGCCAGCTGTGGTTGTGTGGAATGCTAGTTACAAGGTCTTGGGCATGAGTCTTGAGATATCTCTTGTGTTGCCAACGGATCTCCAAGAAATTGTTTTGGAGGTGCCCGAGGCTCCGGCGGACCTGCTCGCGCTCTTTCAGGCCGAGTTTGCCAGTTCTGCTTTCTGAATCTTCAAAATGTGACTGTCCGTGATGGAGGCAGCACTGGCAGACGGCCGCCTGTTTAAGCTGTCCTGGTGGAAGGACTCGTGGTCACCTGAGCTTCCTCAGTCGCGAGCGTGGCTTGCAGAATTCCCTTTTAGTCACGGGGCCAGCGGCTAGCGGTGTTCAAGCAGTATGCAAGATAATGGATGCTTTGCCAAGGATCCCATCGTCCCTCCCATTGCTGCATATGGCGGGGCCTTTCTGTGATAGGCAGTTGAGCAAGACCAGAGGTCTCAGAGCACTACTTGTAGCGAGAGTAGTCTTCTTTCTTTTGACGCCAACTTTGGATAGCCGCATCAGACAGAAAAAAGTGCTCTCTTGTGGTTCAGTGGGCGTTCTTGGTCTGAAGGCCATCGCTGGACAGCTGGGCGGAGAGGCTGCAGGGGATTGTAAACAGTGTGCAGAAGCCTCGAGAGGCCGGCAATCTCGGCTGAGAGTCGAGCCGTTTCTTGGAAGGCCTTGTACATTTGCCGATTCCTGCTGAGCATTGCGCTGCCCCTGCTTCTCTCTTCGATGCGCTTGTGGGCCGTGGCCCAAGAGGGTTTGCGGTTCGCATCCGGATGGTTCGAGTGCACGTTCAAATGCATGATCGCGACTTCAGACCCGCCTCTACTCGGTGTTCTTTGTCATTCTGCTCATGCGCCTTGGCACGGAGGGGCTGTCTGACGCTCTAAGATCTGAGGGTCGCGGCCATGAAAGCCTCGGATGAAAACTTGACAAGCTTCGCTCATAGCAAAGCCCACGCCACAACAGTAACGGCTTCTCATCCCAGGGCCTGTCATTCGTCGTCCCAGACCCGATGGAACGCATTCGTGCTCTTTCAGAACACAAGCACAAAGTTGGCTTGTCAAGAGCATAGTTATGTGGAATTGGTGATTTGTGGTCTTTGTGAGGGACATCGAGTTGCCGGTAGCACGAAGAGAGCGTGACCAATTTTACTCTGTCGTCTCAAGCGACGAGGGCAGCCTGTTGGAGATAAGGCGGTGCCTATCACTCGATGCAACAGTTGGCAGGGTTGAAAGTGCAGTAGGTTGGCATCTTCCGTTGCAAGCCAAGTCGTGCTTCGCACAGGTATACAATGAACTCTCCAATCTGGAGGCAGGCTGTTTCATACTCTTGATTCTGCTCCATCGTGTGGGTGTTGAGAGGTATCCACACTGCGGATTCTTCTCGGTGTTCTACCTGGCCAGTGGCCGAGACTGCCTACCGAAAGCTTTTCTTGATTTGGATCTTTTCGAGCAGGTCGTGATAGGCAACAGAACGGTATGGTAGTCGGTGGGGCATCTTGAAGTCTCTTCTTTGGCTTCTGCCTCAGCTGGAAAATTTCGAGCACTTACGTGAGACCAGCTCAGGGTCGCGTCGCAGTAATTCTTCTCAGGCTCCTCCAAGTGCCTATAGCCGATTCCCCTGATTGCCTGAAGGTCTTTGCAATGTGGAAGTTGCCGAATGACCGGACCTCGGGGACATCCGGTCTCGCATTTTTATCATGATGAGTAGCAGTGCAGGTAGTGAAAAAAGTAGTATCCAAGTAGAAGTAGGAGCAAAAGTAGGAGTAGAAGCAGAAGCCGTCGTAGTCGTCGTCGCAGTAATCGTCATCGTCGTAGTAGCAGTGGCAGTGGCAGCGGCAGTCGCAGTAGCAGTCACAGTAGCAGTAGCAGTAGCAATGGTTCATCATTGGGAATTGGCGTGTCAGGGGTAGCAGGTATCTTCGCTGGCAATAGGGCATGTGGCAAATCGTGCGAATTGATGGCCTTGACTCACGGTCATGCTAATGACACCAGAACACCAAACAACAGCGGCATCAGCAGCAAGAGTGCTCCCGTTTCATTTGCTCTTTCTCGCCCTCCTCCTGCGCTGCGGCATGAAGCACGTATCACCACAGCAACAACTTGGAAGTCTCTCCTTCAACACTCCCAAACATGCAATTGCAATCCCACATGATCCAACCACCTGAAGCATTAGAGGGTGGTGGTGGTGGTGGCGGCAGCGGTGGTGCTGTTGCTGTTGGCGGTGGTGGTGCTGGTGGCGGCGGCAGGTTGTGCTGCTGCTGCTGCTTCTGCTGCTGCTCTCTTTTGTGTATGTGTGCCGCCAGCACCACCACCACCACGAGTGAGACAGTAAGCACAGCAGCACTGACTACGTCCAAACTCTAGGGCGCAAAGGCCTAATTACAGAGATGCATGCTTCCTAAGAAACTGCGTCATGCTGACTGCAAAAGCTTGCTTCATGAAGGCAGCTACCTCTCCAAAGCGGAAGGCCCAGTGAAGTGCGCTATGGTGACCTGCGGTGGTGCTGCTTCAGAGCCTGTACAGAGCCTTACCGGACGAAAGTACATCCTCAAGCAATTTGAGGATTTAGGGCTCGAGAGCTTGACTCAAATGACTGGTGCAGAAAATGCGCGTGCCGGTCATGACATGCAGTGAGATGTTCTTACATGCAAGAAGCCTCCACGACCCCCCAAGCAGGACAGCCATGCCAAGGCGAGCGCTGCCTCCGAGGCCAGTTGTGGAGGGAAGTTGGCTTCGATGTTCCGGTTTGTGGTTGGTGCGGGATCCGTCCAAGTCTGTCGCAAGATCATCGACGCTCGGCCCGAAGCGTGGCACCTTCGCCGGAAACTTAAACGCAATTCCGAAACCCAAAATAAACCCTGGGCCTACCAGCAATTTCAGGGTGTACAGTGGCAATGTCATATCTAGGTTTCAACCGCGCGCAGCCCCGAAGCAGACCAAAGAGCTCGGAGCAGAGGCTCTCCGCGACTGGGCCCTCCGGCGCGTGCGCGAGGCGGCGCCGGGCAGCTGTGAGGCCGGGCCACTTTGTAGCGTTGCTTTATGAATTTAGGGTGTCGGGTTTAGGGTGTAGGGTTTAGGGTTTAGGGATTGGGGATTAGGGATTAGGGTTTAGGGTTTAGGGTTTAGGGTTTAGGGTGTAGGGTTTAGGGATTAGGGATTAGGGTTTAGAGTTTAGGGTTCGGGTCGGGGGGTTTCGGGGGTTTGTCTGGGGTTCTGGAGTTTGGTTCAATCTTGTCTTTACCTTGTTGAACCCTCATGCGAGGTTTTATGAAAAGCGTTCATGGTGGAGAGATGTTTGAGGTGCCTGCTTGATCGTCGAACAGTGCTTCAGGTGCCTCCTGTTGTTAGATGTGATTCTTCTAGCGAGAAACAACGCCTGACCGCAAGGCTGGTTGGAATTTCCATCAGGGCTTGCTCCAATTTGTACAAGGGGTTTGGGCAGTCGAGTGGCTCAGTTGTCAAGGTGGTCTGTTCAGAAAGGCTAGGTTCATCCAGTACACGCCCGAAGAGCCGTGTTGCATTGGATGAAGGTTTGCATGGGGCGGCTTTGGCTTGGTTCAGGATTGAGTCGTTGGAGGCTCGACAGGTAGAGTAGACATATGAAGAGATGGAGTCGCAGGAATAATCATGCTGACCGCCCACTGGGCGGGGGTCATGAGCACGGCCGGTGGTGTCTGCCAGTCCTTGTTTTCTGTGCAACGCTGATAGGAGCTTGTTGAGTGATTCCAACTCCTCCACAAGACGAGACGTGCGCAGGGAGCCTTCCAACTGCTGCAGGCTCGTTCATGGGGGATTCTGGGCTTTCTGTTTGTGGCGAAATGTCGGAGTCGGCCTCACAGTTCCCCGATGTGCTGGGCAGCAACCTCACGGAAAGACGACATACAGCAGGTTGAAGTAGGGACAGCCGCGCCCGTAGTTCCAGAGTCAGTCTTCAAGCCGTTTGTGCGAAGCGACCTGCTCCTACAGGACCACTACTGCCTCAAGGCGTCGCCCGTTCTGGTTGCCAGACATACTGCTGGTGATCGAGTCTTGTTTTGAGTGCTGCCATGCCACGTGCCATTGCGTGCCATGAGGTCTCTGAGCAAGAAATTCTAGAGAGCACTCAACCTCCAGCGCGTCAGGGTCTTCGCATTGCCGTCGCCAGCCTCGCTGCCCGGCTGTCGTCAAGCTGGGAGGCTACCGGCCCTGTCAAACAGAATCAGAAGAGCATTCGTGGGCGGCAAGATCATCCATGTTCAGCCAGAATCTGAAATCCGCAGCTGTTTGAGACTTGTCTCGGACACGGGCGTTGAGTGCTGGCTGCGTGCATCAATCTTATCCCCAGGCCTTGGGCCAAAGCTGCACACCAGACTTCTGCCCGAAACAAAAACTGAATGCTCCGGGCAGGGGCGGCTCTATCTGCTCCTGTTTGAAGCTTTAAACTCATGACAGCAATGGTGTTGCTAGTCCCACTAGCAGAGTCAACCCCATCCTCACCATGGGCGCAGCTGCGTCGGAGCCTGGCGCCGCTGCCAAAGGCCATCGCGTGGTCTTGGCCGTGCCGCGGCGTCCATTTTTCGGATAGAAGGGACTACATAGATAAAGAGAGACGGTTGGATGTATCTTCAGATTCGTTCCATTGAGCTGCATATAGGAGATGTCATGACCGTGCGTACATCTTGCGTGCGTACATTCTGGTGACGATTGCGAGCACAGTCGTATCTAAAGTCGATTGCAACGTCTCAGAGCCTTTTATTGCTTGATTATGTATACAAGTATGAGCAACGTCGAATTCAGACTTGACTTTACAAGGCCATTTCTGACAAGAGTGCATCCATGGTTTTCGTTGTCACGATCACCTTGATGACGGGGTTTGCTGGTGTAGGACTGATGAGCCTTCCTACACCGAAGACTGCTTTGACTTCTGTTGCCTCTTTACTGTCGGTATTGTGCACCAAGCACCAGTGGACTCTTGTGACTCTTGTGGACCGTTCGGATAGCCTCAGCCTGGCTTCCAAAATCCTCAACCCCTGTCGAGTTCTGGTCATGCAGCAGGAAAGAGACCCTTCATGGTTAAAAGACCGTGACATGAAAGGTCAGATTGGATTCCAAGGGCAGGGATGTTGTGCACTGCCTTCCCGAGGTGTCCTCGTTCTTTGGAGCGCCTCATGGATGTTGGATGAAGGAACAGTTGCGTGTGAAGTGACCCCGTAATGGGATGAAGCGAAGACTCCTTTCAGAATTGTGAGTTTTCTACTGTGAGGATGCATACCACACCGCCGTCGTGGTGGATAATGCGGAGTGTCCTGACTGCAGGAGTTGATGCAGGACGTGATGCATCCGTTTGATGTCGCATGCTTGAAGCTCCCTACCAGCAGGTACACGTTCACGCCAAGCGGTATTATGAGGAACGTCCTGAAGGGACATCTCGACCCCGCAGGCCAACTCCGTTCGTGCTGTGTCAGTCTTGCAATGCTGAACCGTCTGTCGTAGCTTCAGGCAACGATGGTGTGGCGTACTTCCGGGGTGTGTCGACGATATCAGGACCTGGAGTACGAGTCATGTCTGAGCTGGGCTGGGCCCTGGCATCCCTGCCGAACCGGCTACGTTTGATTTTGTTGTGCTGCAAACGGCAGGGAACGTGGGCAACAAGCCTGGTACGGAGCAAGTCATGCATAATGCATGGCGCTGCCGCTGCTGATGTTCAATCATGTCGGAGACCAGATGATTCACTGCAGGACCCACCATGGTTCGCATCTTGCTGCCCTTTTTCAAGGAAGGGAGCTATGACGTTCTGAAGAAAAACTGCAATACGTTCAGCCACCTGACTCGCACTTTCAGTGGCCAAGTTCACCACTCTTCGACAGGGTTTTTCTGTATGCATGGAGAGAGCCCGATTCGACAATCCTGATTTGGACACGTCGGCTTCGACATCGCAGAGGATAGATTTGCTCTCACTGTTTGGCCGACACCTGGCAGAGGCGATTGTGCGCTGTTTTGCCTGCTGGGAGAGCGCCTGCCAATCAAATATCGCACGATCGAGAAAGTTGCGTGGCAGCACGGGCCGAGCTGGCCGGATTGCAAGAGTTTGATGCCACGCAGCTGTGCCAAGCACATCGCTCAAACGAGGTTGCGGGAGTACTGGATGACGTCACCGGGGTCGTGCAGGCCCTGACCATGTGCAACTACAAGCCCAACCCCCAGGCGGGCGCTCTGGAGCGGGGGTTCCAAGGAAAGAAGTGCAAAATTAGAGAGAGAGCGACAGAGAGCCAGAGACAGAGAAGAAGTCTCGGTGTGAGGGTTCCTGCAGCCTCTGCAGAGGTCTAAAGCAAGGATTTCAGGGACCACGTACCTATTTTTTTATGGGCGGACTAGCATCGGGGCATCAGACTCTGCGGCAGGGTCACGGCGTGGTCGGGCCAAGAGCACAGTGTAACTACATGATGAAGGTTGTGCGGATGCGAAGGGGGATCCTGGCAGAAGAAGAGAGACCTCGCGTCATCAGCCGTGGCGCCAAGGGAAGGAAGGACAGTCGGTTGACGGATATGTGTACTGCCAAATGCTTGTGGAGGGTAACGTGCCGCTGCTGTCTTGAGGCCAAGGCGTTTGAGATAGTGCCCGTGTTGAAGCAGATTGACTTCCGGACAAGGCCATTGCCCTTCGAATCGTGTTGCGCAATGCCGCAATGCTGCATGCTCCGAAAGTCGACATACTTTCGAAATGCAGAACGGCATAGAGAGCAGCCAACTCGAGATGCGCCATATCCCAAACCTCAAGCCCCGGAAGATGACTGCGCCTGCAGGCTCTCCAGCAGGTCAAAGCCCCTTCCCAAGGCAACTCCTTCCAGGCCCTGGAGGAATCAAGGGTGGATTCTGGAGGCTTTCTCCTGTCAGGTTTAGAGTTCCTTTTTTACATGCAGGGGGGGGGTTCAACTTCGGAACTCGTCTTTGCTGCAGAGGCTTGAGAAGGTTGGGACCAATATAGCACCATCAGTCTCCTCCCTTTCCCATTGATGGTTGGTACTTGTTGCAGTGGCCTGTGTGGTTTATGCCCAGTTGATTTCTGACGTCTTTTGCTCGGATGAAGACTGCTGAAGTCATCAGAACTGCGCAGTCCGACCTTTCAATTTCGGGGAGATGCACCTCACTTGCTCCCTCAACGGGGTCTGTATTGGATTACGTCGGACCTCTTTGCTTCGTGGCATCTTGAACTCACAAGGCTTGGGAGCGGCCGTGATGACCACTTGGTTCCCGAAAGCTGCTTCAGCCTGAAGCTTCCCGAAGCCCTCACCGAAGCTCATTGCAGTGTGACCTGGTAGAGGCCCATCATCCAGGCGGTGCCCAGATACTCCCTCCAGCTCTGACCTGGCTGCTCGACGAACCTGAATCGCATAGCAGTTGACGATCCTAAGCGCCTGGAGCTATGCTTGAGCGTTCGGCGCGTCTTGCATGCGTAATCGCGTGGGCAGCGTTGTGAAAGCTCGCGGCCCGGTGGAATCGGCCCCCGAGTATGCCCATGCTGCACCTAATTCTTGCACCTTCCTTCAACGTGCCTGAGTCATGAGTGTCTACAGAGCCCCCCTGTGTGTGTGTGAGAGTCTCTGAGTTTGTGTGCGCATGCGCATGCGCGACAGTTCACGCAGACCGGAAGATGAACTGCTGTGGAATCTCAGAGAAGATGCCACGGATTGCAGTGAGAAGTGGGCCGCTGAGTCGCTTTTTACCGATCGTCTGAAGAAGGAGTGGGTTTTGCAGTTTGCACTTAGGACCTGTGGCTCACTGCTCAGTAGCCACTAACTTGGTGCAGCTTCTCTGCCACCACCACTAACTTGGTGCAGCACCTAGCCACCAGAGCAGGATGCCGTTATCAGGTTTTGGACCGGAATTCTGTGTAGCTATCTCCAGTCTCCAGCGCGCCTTGAACGCGTGATGATCTCCGACGTGGTTGATAGACTGTCGTTGCAGGATTAGGTGGAATTGCTTCCTATAATTGCCATCCCCAAACATTGAGAAATCACATGCTACAGCGGAACTAATTGCAAATGCCTGCACGGCTCGGCAGCTCGGTGCTAGTATCATTGCTATGATTTTATCATATTCCTTGGAGTCCATCGTTTCTTTTGCATCAGCCAGCAGCCGTTAGTGAAGAGCCTCAGACTCAGTCTCACAGAGCGTACTTGGAGGTTCCATTAAGTAGTGTAACGCGACTGAGACATGGCCGACTTCGATCATATTCGGACAGACCGGTAGCCCCCTGAACTTCCAAGAGCCTAGACCCGCAGTCCAGCGCCGAAAAGAGCTACTTGCATGAGTCGCGGGTTCGGTGTGGGGCGGAGTTTCGGGTTTAGGGTTAAATGTTAAACCCAAACCCAAAACCCCAAACCCAAGCCTTCTCTTCCCCGGGAGGCGGAGGCCTGGCAGTCCGCGCAGTCTCGCGGCCCAGACGTCGTTACCGAGGCTTTGGGCTTCGCGGTGTTTACACAGACTGAAAAGGCTTCCTGAAACTTTGACCATACTAAGCTCAGCTAGGCCTTGGTGGGGCGGGGTGGTGCATGTTGGGAGAGGGGGTGCATGTGCTACCCCCTGATATGGTAGGGACCATCGGACCATCGTGTTGCGACTTGTTCTGTCCGATTCGGATCGGCTCTTCCTGCTCGGTTTGCAGAGGTTCCGCTCTCTCGCCGGTGCCTGAGCAGAACGGCCTTTGCCAGTTCAGACAGCTCGTTGCTGTAGCAAACCCCGCTCCTGCCTGAGGCTGGGACCATTCAGAGAGTTATGACTCGGCGGAGGGGTGCTGGCACTTCGGGCGTACATCTTGCAGGACCGTGGTGACTACGTGAAGTCAGTATGTGGTCCAAACTCCCAAAGTTTTTTGACGAGTTGCTTCTTGCCACACTCCTTCAGGAAGAGGGCTAGCATAGACCTCTCAGACAAAGGACACTGCAGCCGAACCAACTTGCCGCATAGGCATGCAGCTTTCATTGACGGGGTTGAGCTGTTCGACTTCCAGCGCTTCAATCTTTCGCGGAAAGAGGCAAGTGCTGTGGGAAGATTGTGGCTGCAAAGAGAACCATTGTGCAAGCGAATCAGTGCTCCTTGTTGTTCAAGGCTGACACGGCACATGCAACATCGCCGCACAGGTGCAGCACATGGAGCCCCGTCAGCGCCACGTGGCAGCCTCAGTTCCGATTGGCTTGCCAGATGTCACGAAAGATAGCGGTGAGGGCTCATGTGTGTCCGCTGTGGCATTTGGGTCTAAAGCGATTTTCACGGAACTGATTTCACGATGACAAGGCCTTGGAGACTGGCTATGAAGCCATCTACCACGCTGGCTTCAGGCATCGCTTGCGGTTTTGGATGTTCGACGCGACGCGCGGCAGATTTGTGAAATGCCCGCTGTCTCACATCTCCATGTCACAGCCTTGGCCCCAACTTGTTCAAGGCCATGGCCCATGGCCTGAGGCCCCGAATGACCTCATGAACACTGCAGGTTTTGATCTTAAGTGCAGCCGACAGAGCAGAAGTAAGGAAGACACGCCCCAAAACCTGAAAGCCAAACATCACGGAGACGCCAATAAAAATAATAGGGATAATAAGAGTAATACTAATCATAGTAGTAATACGAATGGTAATCATAATAAATGGTAATAATAACCAAAGGCGTGAATTTGCCTTGATTCGGCCCCGAAAGGCGGGTCCAACTCCAAGGCCTCACAGCAGCCGCTCCCGGGCTGAAAGAAATGCAGACGCTAGGGTTTAGGGTTTAGGGTATATGGTTTAGGGTAAGGGTATATGGTTTAGGGTAAGGGTATATGGTTTAGGGTAAGGGTATATGGTTTAGGGTAAGGGTATATGGTTTAGGGTAAGGGTATATGGTTTAGGGTATCTGGTTTAGGGTTTCGGGTTTAGGGTTTAGGGTGACGACATCGGGTTTCTTGTGCGCAAGGTCTATGTGGGCGCTGAGAACTCAAGCGAGTCGGGCAACCCGGTGACCGTGACACGTGGCCTTCCACGCGTGGCCGTGCGTTGACATCTGATGATGCGATGTGGAGGAAGCTTTATTGTTACTATTATTACTATTATTACTATTATTACTATTATTACTCTTATTGCTCTTATTACTATTAGTGCTATTACTATTATCATTGCGATTGTTTTTAATGTTCGTATTATTAGTTCTTATTGTTAGTACTGTTATTGTTATTATTACCATTATTACTTTTTCATCAAATGTCCCTCCCAGGTGGCCCGAGCTCTCTGGCGCCTCCACGAAGGCAACAGGCCGGATCCCTCCGTGATCGATCCAAGCAGAGATGGGTATGACTTTTGTCTTTTTTTACTATTAGTATTTTTATCATTATTACAAGGATTAGTATGATTCTCATTATTACTATTATGATTATGATGACTATTTTTTCAAGGATGAACAAGAGCCAAAGAAGGCTTTACAGCGACCGGGGCGGCGTCTTCGATCCTGGCTGGGCGGATTTCCTTCGTTCTTGGCCTAAAGGCTCGAGCCTTAGCCTTTGCAGAGGGATGCGGGGCAGGTGTACACGCCCATGCCCGTTCGCACCAACTTGATAGTTAGCGCGCGCATGTGACGGCCACGGCAACGGTGCAATTTTCATGTTTAGAGTCATGCAGCTAGACGTCAAGCCGCTACCCAATAAACGAAAGGCCTTCGTTTATGGCACTTCAAGAACCTGTTATGAACCCCCCTGCTCAACACTCAGGGCCCCGCGGTGTCCCTGGATGTTGGTGACTGCTCCAGCCTCTCCGCGGCCCTCGCCTCAACTACCAGTAGCTTCCAAAGTAAGTAGCAGCTTCAAACAAGAGATGGTCCTGAGCAAGACGCATGAAATCGAGTTTGCAGCTGCGCCGATATCCAGCACCACTACCTTCCCGCATCCCTGGCCTTATCACCACCAGCACGATCGCCATCAGCTTCACGAGCAGCAGCACCGCCAGCAGCACCGGTGCCATTTACACCGCTAGCAGCAGCAGCAGCACCACCACCACCACCACCACCACCACCACCACCACCACCACCATCATCACCAAGATAGCTCCCACCGAGCTGGGGCAACAAGCACAAGCAGAATAGATACCCGACAGAAGCTCCGTTTCTTTCATTGTGGAGATGTTATGAGTGTTGTTAGCCAGGTGCATTTCGGCGCGCAGGCATCTGCAGTTTCTGTATATTTCGTTTGCTCACCGGCCGACAGCAAGAGATCCATGCCGTGTGCACGAGCTGTAGGACGAAAGCCGAGACCTGGAGCTCGCGTAGCTTGCCGCACATTCTCCTTTGATCCATCGGTCACTTGATGTCACTTGTAAATCCTGTGCACTGTGCCAGGTGCAGAGGTCCCGCCGTGCAGTTGTCATACTCACAGATATATGATTCAGTCCCCAGTACTTGTTGCTTTCATCGCTTGGCCAGGGTTGCGGACTCGCCAGAAGCTGTCTTGGGTTTGGGAGGTAGGTCGAAATTGCAGATTGACGAACAGGGTCTGCAAGAAATCAGGGGAACCACATGGCCAGGACACATGCGCATTTCGTGATCTTTTGTCCGGCCTGTAGTCTTGTGATCTGAAGCCCAAAGCTTGTCAGGGAATGCGGGACAGAGATGCCAGAGGCCAGGCTTCTGATGCTCCACAGTCGCAGTCTCTGCGGATTTGCTTCGCTCGGCTCAGGCTTCAACGAGGGTGCACACAACGGTCAGAAGCTCCTTTCAATCTGTGCCGTGATTTCCTACAGCACTCGCAGATACCGTTTTTCCCCAACAGAAAGCCTCCCAGCCCAAAGTCCAAGCACTATCCACTTAGCCAGATGGAGGCAGGGCCTTCATGGCACCTTTCCCGTGCCTATGCCGTCTTTCTATGAGGCCTTGAATGTGAGCAGCTCTGCGGCAGAAGCGGAGCTGCGCTCTGCTTACAGGCGCCAGGCGCTTGCCACCCACCCAGATAAAGGGGGCACGCCCGAAGCCTTCAGGCTCGTGGTCACAGCCTTCGAGACTCTTACAGATCCCGTGCGCCGCGCTGCCTACGACCTCCAGCTGAAGCACGCCGCAGCCACTCCCAAGGAGCGCCGGGTTGCGACCGGCCCAGCACGCCCAGCAGGAGCAGCGGCTGCGAAGAGAGCTTCCGGAGAGACCGGCAAGAGGGCGCCCAAGAAAGCCAAGGGCGAAGACGGCCATGCGACTCGCAGCACCCCTAGCCCCAGCGGCCCTAGCACGGGAGCAGGTGAGCCACCAGAAGAGTGCAAGGACAACGTGGCTTGGGTGCAGGAGCTGCTCGGGCTGAGCCAGGCGGCACTCCGGGCCCGCCTCAACGCCATGACTGAGGAGGTCCTACGACGCCTGTTGGAGTTCCTCGAGTCCTCTGACCAGAGCACGCTTGCTACGGTCGTTCCCAGCGGCAGCGCAGGCAGCGCGGGCAGTGCAGGCAATGCAAGCAGCGCGTGCAGCAGCTCGGAGAGTGAGGAGCTTTCCGAGGAAGCCGAGGCGGCCGAGCCTCTCTTGGCCATCTGCGCGGTTGCTGACGACGAAGACCAGGAAGCGAACGAAGTGAACGAGGGAAAGGGAGGGAATTGCGATCAGCAGGGCAGCGAGAGGAAACTCCTTCGGGGAATCTGCAGGAACAAGCGAGACAGCTCCTACCAAGCGAGCGTGTATTTCAAGGGAGTCGGAGCATACTCGCAAAGCACCGTTGACCTAAACAAGATCATTGATCTGCATATCAGCCTGGTTCGAATGCGACAGCGATTTTACGAACACCTGGCATCAGGCCGTAGCTGCAGAGAGGCTCTCAGCGATGCAGTCGCCGAGATGCACTCGAACAGGGCTGCTTCACAGTCTCCTGCCCTTCGTATTCGCTTCTGCTGCAGATGTACAACGAACAACAGCAATCGGAGGCTTGACCTGGAAGAGCTATTTCCTATTTGGGAGTCCGAGCTTGCCAACAAGGAGAAACTCCAGGAGGAGCGTCAACAAAGACGCAGCCAGATGCAGGCAGATCGGCAGGCAGCAAAACAGGAGGAGGAAGCACGGAAGCGACACGAAACGGCACAGCGACATCAGGAGCAGCAGGAGCGGAGGCAGGAGAAGCTGCGGACGGCCGAGGAGAGGAAACTCTTGAGAGAAGCGAGGCGGCGAGAGCGGGAAGCGAGAGCCGAAGCAAAACTGCTGCGCAAAGCAGCTTCCAAAAGCCGCAAGCTGGAATTCCTGCATCAGGAAGTCCGGAACTTGCTGCAGCGCCTCTGCATGCAGCGAGAGCGTGTGCTGCAGAAAGCATTTGGCGTAAAGGCCCTTCCTGAGGGACTCGTGCTGGGAAAGGCGCCTGGCTTCCAGGGTGCTCATGTTTGTGCGCAGCTGCGCCTGCAAAACGGCTCGCTCTGTAATGGACCACTGCGCAAAGACCTCTCGGTTGCCCGCAGCGACTTTCGGGAGCTCTCCGTCCTACAGCGCAAAAAAGGGGACCAAGCGCTCCAAGCGGAGCTGCAGCGGCGGGAGCTTGAGGCCATGACGACCTTCTTCATGTCCGCTGTGGCTGCGTAGGTGAGCATTGCCCCACAAAGACGACGAAGCCTTGGTCCTGGTGATCGTACCTGCAGAACTTGTTCGATGCCTCGATAGTGCCTCGATGCTGGTCACTCAAAGCCTCGTGCGGTTGCCGCAAGCTTGTCCTTCTCAGCTCCAACGGCCTCAAGAAATGCTCCTCCGCCGAAGCATGCACCACAATTTCTCAGCAAATCGCCTTGCAGAACCGCCCTCCGGAGTGGAAGGGCCGACTCAGCGACAGCACCGCGAGTTAAAACGGAGCAGTGCCAGAATGTCGAGCTGGCCTCGAGCTGTCCCCATGCCCTTCCCAAAGAGTATATATACATATATGTATATATATATATATATATATATATATCTTATTTGGAGGATTGTTTCCAGCTTAGCGCTTGCATGTCCAAGCCTCTCTTTCCCTTCTGCAAGCGCCTGCGAAACTGAACCCCAAGCCTCCGAGTCCCTTCAGTTCTCCTGCGCCGTCGGCGTCTCAGTGCTGCTCTCACCACGCAGCTGGCCACCTCGCCAGGCAGGTTCTCTTTGCCAGCTAGAGAGCAGCTAGTAAGTGGACGGACGGCTGGAGGGTTGTCTGACCGATTTTTGAGCACAACAGGCTGAGCCGTGCATTCAGTGTAGAGCTTCTCTTCTTTGCGGCGTGCTTCTGCTGACTGCCCGGATTCAGTTACCCGGCATTTCAATCTCTATCTTCGTCCTGTGGAAGCTCGATGCGGTTTAACGGTTTGGGCATCACACTGGCCCAGTTGGCTCGAGTGTGAAACCATCGAGGTGCAAACCACAACAGAATGTAGCGGTTGCGGGAAGTCAGTGCAGCGTCAAGTCCCTGAGAGGTTTTTGTTTTGCAAGAAGGTAGTGCTTATAAGCTTGGTCTCGGGACTAGCCAGGCTGCCGGACTCTTGGGCGCAACAGGGTGCATCACCCGGGACTCGGCTGCTTCTCATAGCTCAGCACATTGGAATGGCAGGCGACCAGATGCATACCGCATGTTGTCTGCATTCTGAGCGAAGACCAGGCTTGTCTTCGTGCTTGTGCAAAAGAGTTGACAGCCGATATTACAGCACACCTGGTTCTCTGACGGCCGCAAAAACAGCGCCCTAAACTCAGCTACGCTTAGGCGCTGCCGCGTCTTCGATGCTACAGCTAGCGGGGCCGTGCCCGGCGAGGGCACGGCAGCGGCAGTGCTCTGGAGGACTTTGGCCAAGCGAGGGCTTGCTTGAATGAGGGAGGTTGGAGCAGTATCGGTATCGGGCCGATGTAGGGTTTACAGCTTAGTCTACTCACCCCACCATCGGACAATTAGGGCAAGAGACTAGATAGTGTTGCGTAGCGCGCGCGACACGACTCTCCATTTGCTGCTGGATCGATCAGCTTTTTTGATCAGGGCTCGCCCGTTTTCAGTCCGTCTCCAAAGCATCTTGCAGAGCGAGAGGGTTGCTGTTCAAGGTAGTCCAGACGCAACGCATGCAGGAAAGCAGATGAAGAGCAGGAGGCTTTGCCGGGCAAAACAAATCTTGCAAGGATCCATGTCACGTCTTGAAGATCGAGCAGCACCCATGCAAGCACGAATCACATCCATCTCAGCTTTCATGATCTCTGCCGGTTGCGCAGGGTTTTCTGGAGGGCACGGCAATGCAGCACGTGGGACGCGCTGCAAGGCAACCGGACAGCGGGAGCTTGTAACCATGCAGCCTGAAATTGTTGAAGAAGCATCCCTCGGACACGGGTCCGGGGTTGAGGAATGCATGCCTGGACAGTCTTCGCTGCACGTCATTCCAAGAATCGGTCCGTTCCATGCCAGCAGAAAGCCGCGTTGTGAGCACATGTCTCCCAGTGTCTGATTCCGCCAGCTTGACTGCACCAAGCTGCCCTGGAGAGCAAGAGCTGGTTTGCGAAGCTTGGTGCTCAGCATGTCTTGGTTAGCAGTCTCGCTATCTTTAGGCCTTTTTGCCTCAACAGCCTGGGCTCGGAAGGCGTCCTTGCTCTATCGGGGTGCCATTCCAGCTCTCTGGTGGGAACCATCGCAATCGGGCAGTTTTGCTCAATGAATTCTCAAGCATGGATTGCGTTGGCCGTAAATCCCATCAGCACCGAAGCTCCAATCACCAAGTTGCAGGGACACTCCCCATGAAAAAGGCCAGGCAGACGTTCGAAGAGCCATGAGGAATGGAACCGGTATATATATATATATATATATATAGCGGTGGAGACGGTGAATGGTTGGATGGATCGCACAACAATGCGCAGGCATCATTCATGTACGTGAGAGATCTGCAGACAGGTCACACGCATGCACGTCTCCACGGGTAGAATCGGGTAGATAAACCACATTTTGGCACAGTCCTCACCATCGTCGTCCTCGTACTCTCATCCGTCTCATTCTCGTCCTCGTCACCCTCTTCGTCCTTATCCCAACTTGGTCATCCTCGCTCATCGTCGTGGTCTTCACTGTCATTTTCGTCATCATCTGCTGTAACATCCTCATCATCAAGTTCGTTGTCATCCCCGTCAGCCTCCACCTGTTTCTCCTGAATCCTCACCTCGCTCGTCTGGTCTCATCTCATCTACTCCTTCTCATCTCGTGTCCCGCCTGCTGTCTACATCCTCTTTCTCATCGTCGCCGTCTTCTTCCGCCTCCTGTTGATTTTGATCCCAACTTGCAGCTACAAGCAGCAAGGCTTGCCCTGCCCCCTGAAGAAGCCTTCGATGCTACAAGGCTCTGCGCTCGGCGGCGGTGGCCCCCAGTTCCCTTGACTCTGTGGAGCTGCACGGCTGGGCCGGGGGCCCTGGATCCGCGCTCTGGTTCAAAGGTCTTGAGAGGAGGTTTTGCGGAGCAAAGGCCTCGGGAGTAATGTGTTGTAAGACCATCAGCAAGGACACCTTTCTGTAAGCGTGCAGGCCAGGGGTTGCCCAACCTCTTTCCTCCGGACTCTTGAGCGTACATGCCTGCCCCAAGCCCTTTCAGGGTAAGCCTCGTTTTAGTCGGCCGGGAAGCTTGGGAAGTTCAACACACTTTGCACCCAAAGCCATGGAGCACCCACAGACAGGACAGTTTGGGGTTCACAAGCAGTGCAGTGAGACCAACCACGAGCGACTTTGTCAGTGCCACGTGCTCGATGACGGTGTCGGGGTCGTGGCCGCTGCTCGTGCCGGGAGCCCCGGATGGCATGAGAGGCTGTCCATCGAAAGCTGCAAAGGGGTCTCGGGACGCTGCACGCAGCCAGTCCTTGTCCCTGTTTGCCATGCCTACAGGTTGCTGCGCTAGTCAAGCCTGTCTAAAGATTCTGCTGCTTTGCATCTGGTGTTTTCTTGTTGCCGCGCTAGGCAAATTCTGTGGAAATAGTAGCAGAGCTCTGAAGACGGCCACCATGTAATCACCCTGAAAGCTAGGTTCTGCGGCCACGCAAAACCACAATGTCCCCGGTTCTTGAGTGAAGCTGTTTCGCAAATCTGCGTTTTCAGGAGGGTTGGGTCATGGGTTGCGCAGCGACCGCATGTATAACATAAACAGGCAGAGTGTTTCGAGAATAGAAGTTTCTAGTTTCGGTCGAGCAGAAGCAGCGGGGATGTCGTGGCCTCAACTTCTAAGGCGCTCGAGGCGGGCAGCAGAGGTCCTGGAAAGGTGCCTGCACTGATTGATTTGCTAAAGCTTCTCAGGCATGGCTACTTGTAGCGGCAGGCCCCGGTGTTCTGTTCAGCTTACAAGGAGCGTCTGCAGGCAAAAGTGGTTTGTTGCTGGTGCTGGTGCTGGTACTGCGGATGGTGGTTGGTGATGGCGATGTCAGTATGCTTGTTATTGATGCATCATGAACTGGCTTGACACTCACTTCGTCGCGGACGGTCGGTTGCTGCCTGGCTTCACAGAATTAGAGAGGGCTTAGCTTGCACAGCCAGTGCACAATGGCTTTACCCGGGACTCAACGACACGAGCAGATCTGTCAGTCAAACGGCCGCACAGCAACATGACCTGCCCCTTTCCAATCTATCCAGAAATGCAGTCGTGACATGTGGGAGCAGCTTAGCTTAGCAGCATTCCGAAAGAGAGCGCTCGGCGGGGGCTCGGATATGGTACAGGAGGACTATCCTGATTCTGAAAACTGTGTCAATTGGGCGCGGTGTCATCCCGATTCAAACGCATGTTCGAAGTCGGCAGTAGGAATGGCCAGTCGGTAACAGTGACGAAGCGGACTTGCTGGGCCTTCTCTGTCTCGGGCCCCACTCACTTCGAGGATCATGGCTGCGATTGCCGGTGACTTCGATCAGCAGGCCAGGAGCAACAGCCATCGGCGGACAATCTGACAGTAGAAAATGCTGAAGTCGTGGTCGCCATGGTCGCCAGGTGCGGAAGCCACGCAAGAAGCCTCCGTGGAATGCTGCTACCCAAGCTTTGTGTTCGCAGTCTTCCCAAGACTAGGCAGACTTTGAACATCCTGCCTGTGTGCTCTAGCAGCCATGAGTATGCCGATGCATTGTGAGCACATCTTGAGACTGGACACTACTACGGCGAGAACGACGTGGTGGGCCGAGTGCGCACAGTGGTGAGGCCAGATGTTTTCTGAGAGCCCTATTGGTGCTCCTCAGATGGATTTCCCGGTCCTTGATGGGAGGAGTGCGAAGATACGCCAGCAGCTGCTGGCAGAGGGCAAAGAGCCGCAGCCCCACAGTTCCCCGGCGCTCTCTGCGTAAGCACGAGGTGCCCCTAAGCCCTTAACCAAGGCCCGGCATCAACCTGAAGAGGGACAGGGACCAGGAGGCTGGTTTGCCGGATTCCCAGGGCTCTCTTCCAGTTGTGAGCCGGATGCTTATCAGGTGAAATTCTGGAGATCGGTCTTCGACAAGTGCTGGGCTCGGGAAGCATGCTGGATTGAGAGATAAGATCAAGCTGAGATGACCTGGACCCAACCGCCTTCTCGTTCTGATCTGTTGAGGTATGACGTGGACAGTTCCGGCGCTCTGCAGGGTGACCTACAGCGTGTTGCCCGTAATATGATATGATAGTAAACTGTGTCAACGCATAGAGCTAGCATGTGGCAGCTGAGAAGAACAGGGTCCTGAAATGGTGCTGCAGCTGTACTGTTTGAGCAGGAAGTGTAAAGAGAATGGATAAACTCACGACAACAGAAATACCTATCTGTCTATCTGTACGTCTGTCTGTCTGTTTGTCTGTCTGTGTCCTTGCCTATCTAATTCCCTACCCATCTGTCCATCTATCTAACTATCCACCTATCTACCCATCCGTCTATCTATCCCTGCCCATGTACTTAACCGTATATCTACCCATCTATCTACCGTATCTAGCCTTCTATCTATATCTATGTCTGTATCGGTCTCTGTCTCTATCTGCATCTCTAGCTCTCTATCTTTTTGCCGCACTATATATATGTATCTGTCTATCAATCCACCCATCTATCTATCTACCTACCTACCCTTTCATGTCTGTCTATCTATCTATCTATCAGTTCATTTAACTGACTGACTGGACAAGACCGGACTGACGTGGGCTGACCAACAAACTAAACATACCAAACAGATTACACAAGCGAACTTGCAAGCACACAAAACGAGCAAAGCAAACAAGCAATCAAGATATCACCCAAACTTCATCGCCAACCTACTGCTGCTAGCTAGCAGCGAGCCAGCTGTTGAGATGCTCGAGTGTGCCGGCACAAGCTTAGTCCGCGGCAGGAAGTGTAGCATGCCGCGGCATCAAAAACCATATTTGTGCTGTGCCTCAACCCAGCCAAAGATAGCATGCCTAGACCTGGTGGCAGAACAGGTAAGCTCAGCTTGAAATTAGCTTGCTGGCCAAGGGACTTCGAGGAAATCACCGACGTTGTTCGCGAAGATCTGAAGATCGTCCCGATCCAAGACCGAGATGCTACCTCAAGTGCATCTGTGGCAGCAATCCTGTACCCTTCGTTCCACAAGCATCAGATCCAGAATTCGTGAAGTATGTTCTTTGTTAGAATCCCGAAAGCACCGCCCAAATCATACACACCAGCATTCCGAAAGAGCCACACAAAAACACTCACCAAATCTCGGATTTGATTCCAACTTCATGCGCCCTGCAGTCTGGGCTTTCCATTTCTGCATCAGTCCCGCGTCGGGCCGACAGAGTCCTTTGCAACACTTCCCCAACACTGCAAGCTGAGATCTACGGCAGTAGCACCCGAGCCGCGCTCTGCATCCGAAGCTATCCGCCCCACGCCGGAAGCGCACGGAACAGCGCAGGATCAAGAAACAGGGATATTGCGTGCGGTTCTTTCATGAAGTCGTAGGCATTAAAGCCAATTACTACTCTGCAGTTTCTCACGACGGTCTACCGAGTAGCCCAAAAACCTAAGCCAGAGCTCCTTTAAGTACTTTGCAGGCAGGAAAACGCAGAAGACGCACCACTCCATATAATATTGCCTGCCAGATACTACAAAGAGATGCTTCACTGACCTGTGATCGGAAGACCACATCGCCAGAAGTCCAGATTCACAGTCTATTTCCACTGCCCCGGGACATGCGACAGCAGTCATGTGCAGGGCATCCGCAAGCAAAAGCCGGAAAAGTGTCTTGTCCAGCCGAAGCCCTCTCCAACCAACTCCCGCGCTTGCTGAGCCCGAACGGACGCTGTCTCGAGTGGAGTTGAGGCCAGGGCAATCTGAGAGTTTGAATGTGCAAGAAGAGGCTCAAGGTGGTGGTTGCAGTGGCCACTACTGATGAAATTTGCTCAACGACTCGCACACTCGGCTTGCTAAGCTTGACGCTTGTGGTGCTGGTCTAGCCATTGTAAATCTTTCTCTAATTGCCTTGGATGCCTACAAACCGTGCTGATCACACGCTTTCGCTGAATGTTCAGCAGTTGGGTTTTCTTGTCATACTTACAAGTCTTCGGCATTTTTGAGATTCGAACGTTGAGTGTGCCTTCCCTTTTGAGTTCTTGAGTTGTACAACGCTAATCTGCTTGCGCTTGCGCTCGGGAGGTGGTGTTGTGGCACTTGAGGACATGTTTCGCTCGTGCGCAGGGACTTTTATTCCCATTTGGACCTCAACGGCGACATGGTGGTCGATTGGCATGTACTCGCCTTAGAAGTAAGAAAAAGTCAAGCACCATGTTGTTGCAGCGTAGCGTATGCTTACAGCAGACACGGTACAGTCCGTGGACCTTTTCCCTCTGAGGAGTGGCTTGACTTCGTCTCGCAGGGCAAGCTACGCGACACGCGGCCGATAGATGAGGCCCTCCTAGCTTAGCACCAACCATGTTCAAACCCAGCCCAGGGGCCTCGCCCACAGGTGTTTGCGCTCGAGGTTCGGGTTGCCGGGATTTGTCCTTCCTTCCATGTCCACCCCAACACTACTTCGTTCGACACTGTCGCGGGTAGTGTGTTGCAGCATACACTCCCAGGTTCATTTTGCAAAGCCTCTGCCAAACCTCCACGTTGATATGGATGTGATCGGTACCTGCTGTGCCCGGTGCAGGTCCTCACCGAGGCTGGCTCCGGTTATGAGCTGACGAAGAGTTGGGTCTGGGGGGGGGGGAGTCGCATTTCTGTTTCGAGGCTTGGAGTGCCATCAGGTACTGACCAGACTGCCACATCAACAATCATCAACAGTTGCCAGACGAGAAGCGAGTGGCATTGACTTCTCCTGAGCGTACAAGCCCAGAAGACAAGCAACTCTTCCTCGTCTCGATTCTATATGAAGATCGATGCTGAGTTGGCTTTCTGGACCCTTTCGACTTTCTTGTCGTGGTTTGTCCCAGGGTGGCCATAGAAGCGACTCCACTGTTGCTAGTTATCCTGCTCTGTGAGTTCGTTTCATGCTTCTTAGGACTAGAAGACGGATGTGTGTGACTAGCAGTTCTTGATAGCAGTGGTGATGATGACGGTTTTGATGATGGTGATGATGATGTTTTGCTAGCGGTGGTCGCTGTTGTGCATGGCGAGGAGGATGGCACTGCTGATGGTGAGGTTCACGATCACGATTGCGGTAACCATGGTTCGTGATGATTCCGGATGGCGCTGCTGCTGGTGATGATGATGATGGTGAGTATGTTGATGTTGATGATGACTTTGATGATGATGATGATGATGATGATGATGGTGCTGCTGATGATGCTGTGGCTGAGGATGTCGGGAGTACGACAATGAGACCGATTCGGCGATGCCAATGAGAGACAATGGCCTTCGCGATCACGTTGACGACGACAATGATGATAGTGATGGAAGGCGACGACGGTAAGGACGATAACAGTTTGCCACAGCGTAGGTTGGCGGCGCCCTCCGGCTGGGGCTGCGGAGACGTGGCCTAAAGCCAAACCAGGCAAGTCAGGATTGCGCTTAGCCTGCCCACACGCAGAGACCAGTGTAGCACAGGCAGCAGGACACATCAGCTGCCGGTGTGTCACATAGAACTGGCATGTCAGGTGGAGCAGTACATCCGGTCCATTCCTGAGGCAGGGTCGCATGATGTCTGAGATGTTTCCAACATAGCTGGTGCAGCTTCGTTGATGCATGTCTTGGCAGGTCACAGAAACTGTCGGCCAAGACCCCGGACTTCGCATTGAGATGAGCGTTTTTTCGGGATAGATGCCGCTTCTCCCCCTTCGCTTTTGGTTAGGTTATTTGAGCACTA